CCTAGAACTCATTCTGTAGACCAGGGTGGACTTGAACCCTGGAGATCTGGCTGCCTCTGCCTCTGCCTCCCAAGTGCTGGGATTAAAGGCATGCACTGACACCTCCAGACTCTTTTTTTTCCTTTGTAATCCAGGGTCCATATTAAAATACACTCTCCCTTCTTCCCATTATATAAGTATACCTGGGACAGAATGAGTTTCTTAGTTTGAAACGCATTAGAAGAGGCACATATGGTTAAACCATTAGTACACACTCACCAAGCAGTCTTGGAGGCTCGGTAATACTGCTATTGTCCTGATGAGTTAACTGGAAAGGTAGAATAACAGGTCTCAGAATAAGGTTAAGGCTTAAGTGCCTAGGTTAAGAGTTTTGGGTATTAGACAAGTTCCAGACCCTTGCAGGTCCTCTAACATTAATCTGAGCTGCCCTAATCACAATGAGTTCTGACAGTCTGGTTAATTCCTATCCCTGTGTAGTAAGGGGGAGGTGGGGTTAAAGGTTTAAGCATACCCAGCAATCTTGGCCCATTTCTGGTTGGGAATGATTACCTAAGGGACAGTGGCAGGTGGGACTATGTTAAGTAAGGTAGTAAGTGTCCTTGGAAGGGAGAGTTGTCAGGTCTGTGGCATGGGTAGGAGATCTTTGTAGGGACCCAGAGATCTGGGGACTGAGAGGAAGGGGTTTTTCTGGGTAGTGACTCTATCCCCAGCGTCTCTTCCTGTGGCATTGAGTTGGATTCTCCAAGTTCTCCCTGTTTCCCATAGGCCAAAAATGTTTCTTAAGGAATTTCCAGACTTTTAATTTTAATGATCATTGAATCGCATTCTCCTATCCTACATTCCTTGGGAGGACCTTTCTTTCTATACATATGTATTCACTCACGTGGTTTTTAGGAAGCTTCTGTTTCATAACCTCATTCTTTGCAACGGAAACCCCCTTGTTCTTGGCAACTAGGGTGCCCAGCCATGGGGCATGCACAGAATTGTAAACTCTGCATTCCTGTCTCAAAAGATAAACTCCTAATCCTTCATTCTACGATTCAATGTAAAGTGGACATCAGTGAGCAAAGATCAAGGCGGAGTATGGGTTGCTGGTCTGTAGTCATGCTAGCTAAAACCTCCCAGGTATCTGTCTTTCTCAGTTCTCTGCTCCAGGCCTGAGGGCAGTGGGGGTTGGACCATAACCGTATGCTCTTATCCACAGGACAGAACACGAGACTCAGGAGGTAGAGGGGCAGGGAGTGAAAGGCCCAGACCAGCCAGATGAAACCTTAAATTTAATGAGTCCATAGGAGACAGCCCATTTGGTGGCATTGTCTCTAGGAGGGCCAAGATTTCCTGTTTTTAACGTCTTTGCCTAAGTGTTGAGAAGTCCTCTTTCTCTATTCAACATAGTGTGGACATGTGCTGCCACAAAAGCATTGTGATTGTGTATATGGTGAGAGTCTGGGTCAGAGTGATCAGTTCTACTCTTTGGGCTGAGGTATCTGACTCTAAGGCCTGAGCCACAACTGTTTCAATTAAAGGAAGCTTCTGTGTACCTGGTTCCGTCTTTAATGGAGCTGTTCCCATCCACGTAATGCAATGCATTGGGATTTCTTAGAGGAATGTCTGTTGGCTAGACCCAAGTCAGATCTGTTTTTAAAGCCTCAAATGCCTTTTGTTTAGTCTCAGTCCTGATTAGGGGCTTGGTAGCCCCCATTGTGCTGCTGTATACAGACAGGGCTTGCTATTTCTTCAAACCCTGACATCCACAGGCAGCAATACCTAGCTACAGCTAGGAACTCTCAAACCTGTCTCTTAATCTTTGAAGCTGGAATGTGAAGGATGGCAGCAATTTTACTCTGACACAGGCTCCTTTTGCCTCCCCCTCAGGTGGTAGCCAAGGTAAGTAGCCTCTGATGAACAAAGTTGGGATTTCTTGCCCAACTCTGTAGCCCAACAACTCTGTTGTTAAACAGCTTTTGAGCTTCCTTCAGCAACTGGAACCTAATTATACCTTTAAATCCTCTAAATTTTCTAACTTTTTCCTAACATCTGGGCCTGACTGGGTCACGAAGGCAATGTTGAGCACCTGCCTGTGGTCTCGTGCATCTAGATCTACAGGCGTTAAGACTGTAGAAGACACTCTAGGATGCTCTGAGGTCCCCTGTATGACTTCACTTACCTTGGACAGATTTGTGGGCTTCTGCTCTGCCGCTTGGAGCTTAGCCTGGGAAGTCCAGCTGTAGATGTCTACAGCTCCCTTTATTGGGATTGGGATCTCAATCGGGCCAGTTCGATGGAAACACACTCTCTATGTGAAAAACGCTATTAGCCAGAGATCCTCCATCTGGACCCAGGACTGCTCTCTTAGCTTCTAACTTTATGCAGTTCCTTTCTTCTGGTGTAAACAGGGTGGCCAGTAACTGTTGGCAAGCATCCCAAGTAGGCTGGTGCTTTATAGAAAACAGTCTCAAGGAGAGATGATTGCCCTGTGACCATCATCCAAACTGTTCTAGTCGTCTGGCAATCGTATGTGGCTGCAGATGGCCATCAATGTCAAAAGAGGGCCACTGTAAATCACAAAGGGTCCGGAGGTGTACTCTTTGTCTTTATATGCCTCCTAAAAATGGTGGAGGAAACAGCTCGAAGAATTGAGCTGTTTAGAAGCAGAACTAGCCAGAGTTTCACTTTTCAGATCCCAATTCACAATAACAACCATCAGACCAACCAGAAGAGCCAGCAAGACAAGACAAGAACAAATAGTAACAATAAGGAGACAAATTAGGGGTGACTACCTGAACAGACTGCGGATTCCAGTGGCATCTCACATGGATCCTAGGCATTGAATACTCTGTGTCCAAACAGAAGGTACCTTAACCAGACTTACCGCTGGAGGTGACAGAACAGGTGACTTTCACTGAAGGAAATTTAGACAGGGATGTTGGAGGGGCCTGAACCTCTGTAACATACTGAGATCTTCTTTCCCAGAGCATTAGAATGTCTCAAGCTATGCACCCCCTAAGAGAAAGTCTTTGCCCATCCACTGTGCTCCATAGTTGCACCGAGACATAAGGGTTGGTCAAACTGTTCAGAATCTGGGCCTCCAAATGTTGAAGGGTAGAGACCCAAAACTACTCAGTAGGACCAAAATCTGAATTGAGAGTCTGTATTTAGCCAGTCAGCAACAGCCTGGAGAAAAAGAAACATTTTTCACAGAGCAATCTCAAATGCATTTTATAGAACGCTTTTTAAAGGCAAAGAACACAGAAAAACTACATCCCGATTGGCAGTTGCAGGGGAAGTAAGCAAGTAAGCAGTTTAACAGAAGCCCAAATATGCAGTTATCTGGGACATTCTGACACTGAGTTTCTAGAGTAGAACTGGGTACTTTCCCACAGGATTTTTCACATTGGGCACAAGGAGAGTGGGTTGTCAGTTTGGCTTAAACCAAAGATGGCTCCAGCTCAGACAAGGAGGAAGAATCTTTGCCCTCTCACAGTCTTTGCCACTTTCAGTAGTACATTACTGGGCACTAGAAGGTTCTGTGGGTCAGACTGGCTCCATCTGGCTGGTAGCATGTCTAGGACTTGGACTTTGTTTGTTCCTTCCCACTCACCCTGGGACATCCCAATGCAGCTCTAATCAGCCAACCTGAAGCCCTTCCTCTCCTCATCTGCTGCAGGGGAGGATGGAACCTGTCTCTCCACACCAGCAGGCTCAGGAGACCCAGAGCCACTTGCAACAAAGAATTTGTCAGAGTACAGAGCCAGAATAGTTTGTGCATATAACACTTCAACCTACCCCAAATAGTGGCAGACATCACCACATGGCCCTCAAGTCACCTGGGGGTGGAGTGGGGTACCGCTCTGGAAATCATGTTTAACTATCTTTCTCCTCTTCCTTTCCTCATTTCCTCTCATCTTTCTCCACTCTCTCCCTCCCTTGTGTTCCTTCCATTTTTCTTTTTTCCTTTCTGTTTTCCCTTCTTTCCTTTCCTTCTAGAACTCAGAGATATGCCTGCCTCTGCCTCTTGAGTGCTGGGATTAAAGGCATGCACCACCATGCCTGGCTCCTTTTATTTCTTTGAGGCAAGGTCTCCTGAAGTCCATGCTGGCTTGGAACACTCTATGTGGCCAAGTCTGGCCTTGAACCCTGATCCTGTTCAAGGTGATCCTGCCTTCACCTCCTGACCACTGGTGTGTGCCACCATAAAGCTTTTTCTTGTTTGGTGGGGTGTGTATATGGGAGTGGTAGTTTGGATACATAGCCTATGTAGTCTAGGCTGGTCTTCAATCCCCTGCCTGAGGCCAGCTCACTCCTCTAACTCCACTTCTCCTGGCCTTTCCCTTCACTATTTCCTAGGACTGAACTGTTTGCCTCCTGGAGAACTTCTGCTAATCTTATGAAACCCAACTGTGATGGTTAACGTGAATTGTCAACTTGACAGAATCCAGTTTACCCTGTAGATGGAGCTTTAAGGAGCCTGTGGATAATTATCTTGATTACATTAATTGATGTGGGGAGACACATCTTAATTGTAGGTGAGACTTTTCCCCAAGGCAGGGAAGAGGGCCAGGGAGATAGCTAGGTAGTAAAGGCACTTGTGGCCAAACCTGAAACCCCAAGGACAATCCCTGGAAATTCTTGCCATCAGTGCCCCCTACAAAGAAATAAAATGTAATAAAAACTTTAAGAAATAATAAAGTGGAAAAAGTGAGCTAATCAGCAGCAGTCATTCATTGTTCCTTTTTTTTTTTTTTTTTTTTTTTTTTTTGAGACAGGGTTTCTTTTAGTAGCCTTGGCTGGACTCACTTTGTAGACCAGGCTGGCTTTGAACTCACAGGGATCTGCCTGTTTATGCCTCCCTCAGTGCTGGAATTAAAGGCTTGTGCCACCATGCCTGGATGCTCTTTGCCTTTTTTAATAAAAAGATGTATTTTTTTTTTCCTTTTTTCCTGAGACAGTGTCTGTCTTAGAGTTACTATTGCTATGATGAAACACTATGACCAAAAGCAAGTTGGAGAGGAAAGGGTTTATTGGGCTCACACTTCCAGATCATAGTCCATTACTATGGAAGGAAGTCAGGACCGGAACTCAAACAGGGCAGAAACCTGGAGGCCACAAGGGGTGCTGCTTACTGGCTTGCTCTCTGTGGCTTGTTCAGCCTGCTTCCTTGAAGAACCCAGGATCACCAGCCCAGCATTCCTTCTGTGGCCCCTCCCCTGTGTCAAGCCTGTAAGGCTCTCTAGATTGCCCCCTGCTGCTGCCACTGCACACTACACAAGCCCTCCTCCCACCACCATCCCCATAGCTACCCTGGTGTTTGTCACTGTCTCTAAGTCCCCTCTTGCTCCCTGCAGCCCAGCCTGAAGCAGGAGAGGTACTTGAAGGGCACAAACACAATCTCCGCACCAGATGTAACAGCCAGAAGGCTGTTGTATGGAACTATCAGGAGGTGAGGGCAGTCCTTTTGATGTTGGTAGTCCTGAGCCCAGAGGGCTGAAGGCTAGGACAGTGCTACCAGAGACAGGCTTATATCTCCAAGCCCTGGGAACTAGACAGAGATGACTACAGGCCCCGAGACTGATGGCTTGGGGTGGGGGCGGAGTGTCCAACCTTCAGACATCCAGGGAAGATGTTATCTCCAAAGTTCACTTCAGAGTTGTAATCAGGTTGCCAAACCCCACCCCCTCAGGGCAGGTAAGATGGCTCAGCAGGTAAAGGTGTTTGCTGTGCAAGTCCAGCAACCTGAGTGCTATCCCCAGAACATACAAGAAAACAAAACAAAACAAAACAAACAGAAAAAGAGAATCAGTTCCATCAAGTTGTCCCCTAACCACTGCCTGCTGCACTATGACAAAAATGCCCATATACATAGTAATAAATCTTAGCATACGCCCCATGGCTGCCAGTTGAACATGCCTTTCAGGGACATAGGTCACAGGCTTACAGCCAGCAACAGCAGCAGCAGCAGTGGCTGCGCTGCATAGCTCCTGAGCTCTGGGTGCCCACATCTTTCAAGGGCTAGCAGCTCCCAGGAACCGGCAGTGATGAGCCTCTTGCTTCTAAAATACTGCTGTGAAGCAATGGCTGCTTCTGCTTCTTGGGAACAGCCTTTTATCGGGCCTAATGTTGCAACACCAAGCAGCAGTGAAGGGCGCTGTGGAAACGGCGTGGCATGCAAACGGAGGATTGTATCCACACCAATCACAGCAGTTTCTAGTCACCGACTTCCCACTGAGTTCCAAGGGTTGAAGATGGCCAGTCAGTGAAAGTTCATCCTGGCTTGGGTGGGGTAGATTGTCTGGAGGCCTCCTAGGAGGAGCATGGCTTCGGTACAGTGCTCCCCTGGAGCTGGCGTGGCGTCAGCATGCTCCCTCAATGCAGGGGGCTAGGCAGAAGAGTAGTCTGTGGCCCATGAGAAGCCATGCCTGATTTATGTGGTGCTGGGACTGTAACATGGGATTTGCGTATGCTAGACAAGGTCAGTAATGAGGTATAGCCAAACCCTTATTTGCCAACTAGTTGTTTTTTTTTTTTTTTTTTTTTTTTTTTTTTTGAGAGAGGGTCTTTCTGGCTTTCAACTTGTAGCAATTCTGTCTCAGCTTACCAGGTGCTGAGATCACAGGTGCTGAACCACACACAGGATCTCACCACACACCCCAGGCTGTCTAGATTGCTTGTTTCAACTTCCTGAGTGTTGGATTATACACAACTGGCTTGCCTGTAGTCTTAAAAAATGTACAGTGTACCAAGTGACACAGCGGTCCTGAGAAGGTGGGCCAGAACAATAGGAAGCTAAGGCTGCTAGGTGTGGGTCTCAAAGAGGACTTAGACACTGGTTTATGCCAACAGAAAGTCTTTAATACCCTGCCAGTGACTACACTGGGTGTTTGGGATCCCAGAGTAGCTCTGAGCCTTTTTAGGGTGAGCTTTTAAAAACCTCTATCCTGGGTTGACATACTTAACAAGAACAGTTAGCCAGAAGTGGAACTACAGATGCCAAAAAGCAAGGTTAGTGCATTTAGAAACTTTCCAAGAACTATGGACTTTGATGGATTGGGTCTTTGTTTTCATTTTGCCAGGTGGTACTGTTTATGTCCTGAGTTTTATGGCCTGAATGGTACTCCATCATGGCCTCAGTTGTGCTGAGGTCTGGGGGCTTGTTAAAGCATTAGTGTGTGCAAGCAGCAATTAATTTGCTTGGGGAGTTCCATCCCCAGGAGGCTTGAGTAATTTGGCAAGTGGGGAGAATCTCCCTAATGTCCCAGGCCAGGGCTGTAGGGGAATCATGGATGGGCACAGCACCATTGGACATGCTTGGCCTTGGTGTCCCTGCTCAAGTTGACCTTCTGGTGAAAAGAAACCTCAGCATCTTTGTATGTGCCTTTCACTGCCTTGGGCTTGAACTGACCCCTCAAGGCCACAAGGATGGTAGGGACAAGGCCAGCCGGGGTCCAGCTGGCTGCCATCAGGTGTATGAGCTGGGTCTTAGCTCTGAGTATGGGGCAGGAATGTGATAGATGTGTGACGACCTCATCTGAGGACACTGGCTGTGTCCTGATGCCTCCAGCCAGGAGACCCATTGGAAAAAATGCCATTTTCCCAGGCTTTCACTAACAGCAGAGCTCTGCCACGAGCAAAACAGGACAGATTCATCTCCTGTGACTACCAATAAACAAGAAGCCTGCCAAATAGAACTCAAATTAGCAATGCATTTAGGTGTGCAACAATTACCTGGGAAAACACACAACAGGCCCATCTAACTACACCTATCACTAAATTCAGGGACTTGAGGTGGTGGTGTTGACCTGCTGCAGTCACCAGTAAGCACAGGGACTACCTTCTACTCTTTACAGGAGTCCTGTTCCTACCTAAATATGTAGTGTGCTATTTTTGGCAGTGGGTTGTTGTTGAGACAGGGTCTCATGTGGTTTAGGCTGGATTTGGACTCAGTAACAGACACTGCCTTGAACTGATCCTCCCACAGGTTGAGATAACAGGTCTGTAAAACACAACAAACACACTTGCCTTTTTGTTTGAGGTAGTCTGCTTAGCCCAGGATGGTCTTAAAATACAGCGATTCTCCTGCCTCAGCCTCCAGTGTTGGGACTACAGGTGTGAGCCAGCATTCTCACCTTATTTTGATCAACAGGGACTATACCTCATCTCTCACTCAGGCTGGCCACCATACTGTCCTATTCTAGCCACACAGTCCTGTTGCTTAGCCTTGGCTTGGCAAAGCCTTGGTGACAATGAGTCCCATGGTTATTAGATATCCCTCAGGCCAGCCTCCACTCAGCACATGACTCAAGATTCTGTGGGCTTCTTAGCCCACATCTTCCAGTAAACCAGTACGGCCTTTGCATCAGCTCCTGGAGGGCCATGGTCCCTGGTGGAAACGTCACACATTCCATCACATCACGTTCCACAGTCTGGTTTGAAACAGTCCACACTGGGACCTTGTGACCAGACGGCAGTCAGCTGGATGACTCAGAAATGATTATAGAATTCAAAAATAGGAAGCTAAAAATATGCAGGGCTGCTGGCTTCTAGGAACAGGCGGGTCTGTGGTTCCAGCCCCTCGTGGGGGATGGGCAGGAGCCAAAGCCCTGATGGAAGCTGAGGAAGGAAGGGCAGGCAAAGTGGACAAGGAGTCACCTGTGAGGTGCAGGGTTTTGAATGGCCATTATTAGGAGAGGGACAGGGTATTTGTGCTGAGGTGTCCAGGGCAAAACTGGGCACAAGTTGGAGAGTTTTGTGGGGTGCTGACTCTGATGATGCCCATGTTTTAATCCCCCAACATGGCTGAAGGAACTCTGTACAAAGGGATAAATTTCTCTGGTGGCCCAAAAGCAGCAACTCTGAGGCCTAATACTAAACTGTTACTGGAAGAAAGGAATGCAGCAAGTGACACGATGAAGGGGCTCTAAAAGCCATGGAACATTCTGGAGAGCCATTTTGGATAGTTGAACTGCACTAAAAAATGTGACATCTAAGTCCGTCGACCTATGACTTGACACAGGACACTTGAAAGGCACCAGCAAGAGTCATAGCAGAGTTGCCCAGGCTTCCTACAGTAGAGTGTGGGCTACTGGGTGGGCCTGGGTGAGGTTGTGAAGCAGAGGCAAGATGATCAGAAAGGAGTTCAAGGTCACTTCGGTTACACTGTGAGCCTGAGGCCAACCTAGGTTGTATCTGGGTTACATGAAACCATCTGAAAGCAAACCAAAATCACCCAAAACGGGGAGAGTTCCTAGAGAGGACCACAGCAGACCTCGGACAGGCTTACACCTATTCTGGGCCCCCAGGATAAGAGCATTGTAGCTGTAGCCAGGTGGGACATGGGGTCAAAAAAAACCAAGATGAGTCCCCAGAGTGGTCAGGAGGCCTCAATAGCCAAGAGTTTGAACAAGGCAGAAGAGCCAGATAGATAGGTGCTGGGCTGAGAAGCACGATAGCTTTGAGGCTGGGGAGGGTGCAACCCAAGGAATGCAGGGGCCAAGGGACCAAGTATGCTGAGGGATCAGCTCTCTGGTGGGGTAGGTAGAGCAGAGGGAAGGAAATGAAGGGAACAGAACCTCAGTGCCAGGAAATGTTGATCAATGTTTGAGCACAGGCCCCAGGCAGCTCTTCATTTTGTCAGGTGAACCCTGTGATTAGGATCCTCTTCTCGAGATTCAAACTTTTATTTGAGATAGGTAGTCTCAGCTGGCCTGTAGCTTGCTATGTAGGCTAGGCTGGCCTCAAACTCACAGATCAGAGAGATCTACCTGCTTCTACCTCCCTGTGTGCTAGGATCAAAGGTATGCATATTTATGCCCTGCTGTAGGTTGGAAAGCTAGGACAAGGCACAGTGTATTTGGCTGCCCACTGTGGTCGTTGGGGCCCCCTGCTGGTGTAAAGCAAACCAGGAAATCCCAGCACCCTTTTACAGCTAGCACCTAGGGCTGTAAGGCTGTTAAGACCTGAAGGGTCCTTAACGTAATGGATATTCTTGGCGACACAGGTTATCTCCAGGTAATGGCACCTGCTTTGTTTTCGTGTGGTCTCATTTGTAGCCTACGTTGCTGGGCAGCACAGCAGTTCTCAACTCTCAAGTGCTGGGATTTCAGAGTGAGCCACTACATGTAGGCAGAGGGCACTTGTTTAAAGACCGCAGTGGAAGCAGAGGTGCTGCCCTTTAAACCACAGTCCCTCACAGAAGCAGTGATTTTGGTAGACAGTGAACTCTACAATCAGTCCTTGCAGGAGCTGAGGTGCTAGGCTCCTGAAAGTACCACTTGTTTAGTGGTCAGGAGCTGCTCTCTGATGGCCTCCAAGGAAATGGGACAGATGTCCTCTTGGCCAACCGTGGGGACAGCCAAGTGCTCTGAGCTGAGTTGGTGTCTTCCCCCAAGGAGCAAAAGGAAGTCTCTCAAACTGTAGAACATGTGCCATTAGTTCCAACTTCCTCCTTGTAATATCAGGGACCTCTCTCAGGGGGAGGAGAACAGTAAGGGGAACGGTCATGTGTCCCCAAAGCCCAGGAAGCAGAGGCTCTAGAGATATAGCTTTACTTCAGGAGCTGGTTCAAGCTGAGTGAGAGGGGCCTCCAGCCTGGATCAGTGAGGTCTTCTTGGAACTGAGCACAAAAGGCACTTGGTGCTACATCATGGTGTATCAGGTCCACAGTGACTCCTCAGAGGAGCCGCAGGCTTGTCAGGGTGCTTCTGAGGAAAACACCATTGAGTCCCATAGCATCGAGGACACATCCTCGCTCCCACTTACAGATCCCTGGACCTGCGGTGCTTCTTCTACCAGGTCAGCCACCAGGTTCAGCTGGCAGGCCCGCAGCGCCCTTACCAGCCCAGCCACCGTGGCTTTCTCCCTTTCGGTATTCCTCCAGACCCTCAGAGTCTCCCTTACTTGCTCGTTCAGGCTTCGGGGGTATCTCTCCTCAATCGCATCAATCTTGACCTCAGACAAGTTTAGAAAGCGGGCCAGTCTCTTCCAGTCTCTCCCCACATTGTCACACACGATGTCAAATGCCACCCGCAGATCTAGGAGGAAAAACAGCAGCATGACTTAACTGAGGAGTTGGGAAAGTCTCATCATGGGCCACCAAGTATGGACCTGGGCACTTTAAAGGCAACACCACTAAAGCCAGCTAGGCCCCGGGTAGGCAGACACTCAGTTGTCCAGGAGTTATTCAAGAGACCCACAGTGGCCTCCTAATTGCCCAGTCCCCTCTCAGAATGGGCCACACCGAGCTATAACTTAGAACACTAGAAACTGAGGAGGGGCTGGAGAGTCAGAGGGAAACAAATAGGGCTGCCCTAAAACCCTACTCAAACAGTGGGTTGGCTAAAGTCCCTGAAGCTTCACTCAGCTCATTCTACACCTGGGACCTTTGCTGGTTTGGAAGAGCCATCCCTGTCACAATCTGGAGGCCCTGCCGGCACAGGCAAGGTGGAAGGAGTTGGCTAAGTGGTGCAGGGAGCCCTGGGCAATGGCTGAGAACCCCTTAATAGATTCCAGCAGCAATAACAAACACTTAAATGTGAATACACCACCCATTTTCTTGTATATCTTGTACACACTGGCAGAGGAAACAATGTGTTTTTCAAACAGTTCTGTGTCTGAAACAAACTGTCACAGCCTGTGGTGGCATTACCGGGTCTGATTTTGTCTGCATTTTAGATTTCTGGGCTTTTGACTATGTCGACCTTTATGGTCATGGTATGTCTTCCCAAAGGCTCCTAGAAGAGATAGTCCCTCAATGGTGGATCAATCCACTGCTTCATAATTTGATGTTTTACTGGGAGGTGGTGGGAACCTTCAGAGGCAGAGCCTACTCAGAGGAAGTACTAAGGCTGTACTGCTGGGGGAGTGTATTTTGTCCCAAGTTCCTTCCCGTCATTTTGCTACTTGGCCTGGCAGCCAGGAGGTAATCAGCTTTGCTTGACTATGTCCTCAAGCTGCTTTGATTTCCTGGCAGTCCAAGAACCAGCCAACCAGGAACCAAATAAACCTTTGCCCCTGTAAATGGCTTCTGGGTATTTGTCACAAGTGATAAAAGAGTCTAACAGATGCTTAACCAGTATCCACACCCCAAGGCCAGACTGGTGCGGCTCAACTGTGGGTGCTATCCACTGTGCATTATGGGAAGCCATAGTGCCTCCTTTTTTCGGCAGAAGTAACACCGGATAACCAGACACTGGCCTCTGGAGCAGGGAGCTTAGGCGCAGCACAGTCTATTTTGGTCAGGAAGCACACTGCTTGGACGAAGGCACTCCCATTACGGAAATGGTGCCCAGCAGCAGGCACACTTGATTTGCTCACTCTTCAATTCTACCCTCACCAGGGTTAGGGTAACTTAGCCACATCCATTTCTTAGCTGAGTTTTCCAATTTACCGAAAAGGGTGGGGAGCCAAGCACTGCAGGTCTGACCTGAGTTAAACCTGGGGCTGAGCAAGTGGTAGAGCAATAGCCTGGGTTCAACCCAGGCATTACAGGTAAGACGGTGGAACGTCCTCCCATTCCGGCTAGCCTGTCCAGAAAAGTGGGAGTGCCCTAGAGTACTTCCGAGTAGGAGCACGAAAAGGGAACTCCGAGGCTAGGCCTCTCCACTCATTCCTCTGAACCCTGGGCTTCCATCTACCTCCCGCCCTCCAGCCCACCTGCCTCCCCCGGCGCGGCAGAGGCCGCCACCCCCGCCTCGAAGTCGTCCAGGCGTTGCAGTAGGTCCTGTCTCCGCAACGAGGTCAGCAACTCGCGCAGCAGCCCAGTGCGCGTGCGCTCCACGTCGTTCTGCTCCAGCAGCACCGAGAACAGGTCCAGGCCACTCTGCACGCGTTCCAGCTTTCGTTTGCCCACGCGCCCGCGGCAAAGGAACTTTAGTTCCATCAGATCGCTGTTCGACAGGCTGCCGGACAGCGAATGCAGCAGCACCAGGAACGGGTCCATGGCACCAATATGCCGGGGTGGCCCTCGGAGACTCTACACAGGAAAACTCAACGGGCTTGCGCGCCTAGCGTCTCGCGAGAATTCCAGATCCCACGCATGCGCGTGTGGCCGTACCGGCTTCCGCCCGGGCTGGCGGTGGCTTCAGCGCTTGTTGGCGATAGTTCCTGCGCCTGCGCTGGACAGATCAATAGCTGGTGTTGTAACGTGGATCATCTCGGATCTTGGGACTCCAGCTTTTCACCTGTGGAACTGTGCAGCCCTTCTGTGTGGGCACTGGGAAGTCAGCTGCAGGCCGCAGGGATGCCTACTGCGGCCGGATCACGTTCAATCACGATTTAAAAAACCGATTTATTTATGGGCTGGAGAGACCGCTCAATAGTTAAGAGCGTTGGCTGTTCTTGCAGTTTCACAAGCATCTGTAATTCCAGTTCTAGGGGCTTTGACACCCTCTTCTGGCAGGCACACATAGACAAAATACCCATATATAAAAAATAAAACGTTAAAAAAAAAACCCAAGAAACATTTTTTGTTATGCGTAGAAGCGTTTTTAGGCGTTTAAGTGCATGCTTGCAGTGCCCACCGAGGCCAGAAGGCGGCGCGGGACCCCTGCGGTTGGTTGTGAGCTGCTGTGTGGGTCCAAGAGAAGCAAAGTCCTCTTAACTGCTAAGCCATTCCACCGGCTCACTAATGCGTTTAATAAAATAGTATAAGAGATTATCTGGGATATTATCAGAAAAAGTTGTCGCGTGTCGGAGGTTGTGGAGATGCTAACTGCCCTGATTTGAGCTCTCATTAACAATACACTATGTTCCCCATAGCCGATCACAGTTACGGTGTATGAGTTAAAAATAACCTGGGGGCTTGTTCAGGGCTTCGGTAAGACAAAGTGCCTACTTCACAAGCATGAAGACCCGAGTTCAGATCCTGGTGACCGCATAAAAAGCTGGACAAGGTGGTGCCTATCTGTAACCCCAATTCTGGCGGAGACAGGTGGATTCCTGGCGCTCAGTGACCAACCTCAGTAGCTGAATGGCTGAGCTCCAGGCTTAGTGAGACCCAGCTGTGCACAGCATACCCAGCCAAGTTGCCTTAAGTTTTTAAAAATTGATTTACAATTCACTCCTTCAAAGTGTACAGTTGAAGCCGGCTGTGGTGGCACACATCTTTAATCCCAGCACTCAGGGAGGCAGAGGCAGTTGGATTGCTGTGAGTTCAAGCCCAGCCTGGTCTACAAAGCAGGAGTCCAGAACAGCCAACACTACCTTGTCTTGAAAAACAAAAACAAAAACAAAGAAAAGAAAAAGAAAGAAAGAAATGTGTGCAGTTCAGTGTTTTTTTTTTTTTTTTTGTTTTTTTTTTGTTTGTTTATTTGTTTGTTTCTGACAGGGTCTCACTATGCACCCCAGGTTGACTCCTGGGGCTATATAGAAAGATAAATGGGGATTGGAAAGGTGGCTCAGGGGTTAATAGCACTTGTTGCTCTTTCAGAGAACCTGAATCTGGTTGCAGACACCCATGCTAGGCTGTTCACAGCTGTCTGTAACTCCAGCTCCAGGGGACCAGGGGCTCTTTGCTGGCCTTTGCGGGAAACTGCGCCCATATGCACACAAACCAACACATTTTTACTAGGTGGGGAGGACTCTTCAGAGGAGCAGAACCAAAGGAGAGGATTTATTGGGCTGCTATACAGGAGAGAGCTGGGAGTCCAGCAATGGCTGTCTGCATCTTGCAGAGGCAAAGGACCAGGTTCCCAAAGCCTGATGCTGGAAGCCTGGGGATTCCCTGGAGAGCAGTGGCATTGAGTTTGTTGAGTCTATAGTTTCCCCTGTTTGTTTTTTTTAAAGCCAAGATCTCATACATCTCAGGCCGGTTTTGAACTACCACCTCCCCCACTCCATATAACTCAGAAAGACCTTAAACTTCTGATCCTCCTGCCTCCACCTCCCAAATGCTGAGACTGCAGGTGTGCACCACCAGGCCTGGCTTGTTTTTATTTTGGGTGTCAGTTTCATGTTAGATTTTTGTTCTGTAAACACTCCCACATTTTGTGTACTTTTTTTTTCCAGTCTGTTTGTAAGATCTTGGAATAAAAGAGTTCATAATTTTCATGAAATGAGGTGCTTTTCTTTTCATTGTACTAGTAAAGGTCAAGAAAAGCCTGTCTGATATTGGTAACAGAGCACGCCTCTCAAGGGCCTCCTTCATCCCTGTCCAGAAGAGAAGAGGAAACACAGAAGCAGGGCTGTGCAGGGCTGTGCAGTGAAATGCTCAGGGCACATGTGATCCCTGGTCTTTAGCTATGCACAAATGGTAGACCATATTGGCTGCTCTAGCATCAGGGAGAGCAAGGTTTCCAGAAAATTGGTCCTTCAGGAGAAAAGAACGCTGAAAGTCCTTAAACCAAGTTGAACTGGAGGCCATCCCAACACACACACACACACACACACACACACACACACACACACACACACACTCACACATGCACGCGCGCACACACACAGGAAGAGAGCAAGCAGTGGTGGTGCATGCCTTTAATCCCAGCACGAGGCAGGAGGCAGAGGCAGATCTCTGAGTTCGAGGCCAGCCTTGTCTACAGAGGGAGTTCCAGGACAGCCAGGGCCACACAGAAAAACCTTGTCTTGAAAAACAAAGCAAAGAAAAGAAAGGAAGAGAAGGACAGGTGAGTGAATGGGAGGCAGGAAGGGAGGAAAAAAGAAAGAAAGACAAGGAAGGAAGAAAGAAAGGAGGGAGGGAAGAGAGAAAAGAGGAAGAAAGGGGAGAGGGTTTGTTCATCCCTTTCACTGCTTACATGGAGGTAAACTCATGCCTTGTTTGGGCTGACAATGGTTGGAACTCTTGCCTTCTCTCTCTAGGATTGTCTGTGTCTTCAAGTTTCTTGGTATTTTTCTCTCTGCTTGTGTTGTCCCTCCGCTAATGCTGCGGTGGGAGCTTTCCTCAGTTCCCAGGATTCCTTGTCTTTCCTTGGGGAGGTTTTTAAAATTTTGTTTTGTTTTGCTTTTTAGTTTTAGTTGATGTTGTTCTTTTTTGTTTTTTGTTTGTTTTGAGACAGCGTTTCACTATGTATCTCTGACTGGCTTGTACTCATAGAGATTCGCCTGCCTCTGACTCTGGAATACTCGGATCAAAGGCAAGCCAGCCATGCCCGGAGGAGAAGTGTTTGTTTGTTTGTTTGTTTGTTTGTTTGTTTTGGGTGCCTCCACTGCCAGGGAAGCCTCCTTCTAGACACCTATATCTTAGTCCCAGACCCATGACCCCCAGGCTTAGTCCTGGCCCCTGGAAAGCGGCTGTGAAGACCTGCTGGATGAAAATGACTTGCAGATGCTGTGAAGATGAGGCTCTGGGTTGGAGATCTGCCTGGCTGACCTCAGAAAACTATCTGGGCCTGAGCACTCAAGGAACTAAAGACTTCTGAAGAGGAAGTAGCTGAGGTCAAGGCTGGCACTGTGGGTCTGCTTCGGTACTGGGTGTCTGGACCAATCTGAAATTCAGTCCAGAGGCCTCCCTTTGGACTTACGGTCCTCAGAGCTTCGTGGAATGTTTGCAGCACCATTTGCACCCAGGATCTAGGTTTATGCTCCCTGGGTGCAGATCCCCAGGTTGCCAGCAGATGGCAGCAGCCACCAGCAGAAAGAGGCCAGCAGTGCCTGCCTTGGCTAGGAGACAGCAGGGTGGTCAGGGAAGAGGGTGTCTTGCAAGGAACATGAAGGGACAGAGGCTTCATAGTGTTCTGCTTCAGAGACCTAGCATGTCTCCCGCTGAGTGTTGGGATTACAGGCATGACCCACCAGGTCTGGACAAATCTGCATTTAAATGATGCAGATTTCTAGGGCTTTTATGTAGGGAGGTAGGTGAGCCCATGGAGCAAAACAACTGGAGTTGCCTTGGAATCGGGACAGGCCCCACCTTTGGAAGCAGCAGGCTGCAAACACTATCCCTGTGGCCTGACATGACTCATTATGTACCTAGTACAAGTTGCAGAACTTGGGGCTGGAGAGATGTCTCAATGGTTAGGATCTGAGATCAACCCACAGCACTCACATTAGGAGGCTCACAGTAGCTTGTAACTCCAACTCCAGGGGACCTGACAGCCTCTTCTGGTCTCTGAGATTATCTGCACTAAGGTGCACATACCAACATTCAAGAGAAAGTCTTTAAAAAAGCAAACAGAAGTCGCAGATCTAGGACCCTCCCTGCCCTGCTCCGTCCACAGAGACCCTGTAATGGTAGAAATGTCCAATGCTAGCTGCCTACTTCTGGTTTGAAGAGACCGTCTTCCAGCCACCTTGCTGGGTGACTGTAACTCTCTCTAAACCCCTGCAATCTTACCTAAACCCCTGGCTGTCTGGCTTTTTTGTCACCAGGTCCCAGGTTTTATGTGGCAATATTAACCATTCTCCACCCACTTCATGCCAGGCGTATTGTATGCCTGCTCGATACCCCCTCTATGGTGCCCCCATTCACTAGTTTCCCATCAACCATCGCATGAACCCATAATGTCAACCAAATCCCACTGATGTGTTATCTCCTCCTCTTCCTACAGCCCAGGCCACCATGTTCAGTCTCCAGGAAGCCAGAGAGCCCTGCCTGGGTCTGTCCTGGTCTTCTGCCCTTCCTGTTATCTTGCCACCTCCTCGCCTCTCCCTTCTCAGAACTCATCAGGCACACTGCCACCTCAGGACCTTTGCACATGCTCTTCCCGTCCAGCCTCCCTCCAGCCTTCATGTGTCACTGCTTGTACCCAGGACAGAAACTTGAGACAGCCTCACTCTCGTTTATAAAGTTGCAAGCATAGTTTTCTTCCTTGTGGGATTATATGGCTGTGGAGTTCATCTTCTGGGTCGGTGCCCAGCAGCTCCTGTAGGTAGGGCCATCCAGAGTGAAGGGGCATGGCCACTCTGTCCTTCCAAGTGCTTCTTCAACTCTGTGGGGGACAGGGAAGGCTCTGTAAGGAGACCTCTGGCTGGCGTTAGTAAGCAGTCTAGGACCTCATGCATGAAGTGTGGCTCTAGACCTCACCTTGCACCATACCCCAGTGGGCTTCAGACGGGGGGATCCTGTGTTGTTAACCTCTGCTATGTCCATTCTGGGTCCTACACACCAGAAGGAAGTATTCCAGGGCTTTAGACAGTTTTTTTCTTGAGACAGGGTCTCACTATGTAGCTCTGGATGGCCTTGAACTCACAGACATCAGCTTGCTTCTGCCTCTGCCTCCTGAGTGCTGGGATTAAAGTGTACCTGCCACCACAGTGAGCCAGCCACTGGCTAGGGCAGACTTAGACCAGGAGCTGCAGTTTTCTACAAGGTGTGTGTGCCAACACTAGGGGGCACCAGAGGCCGCTGCTGTCCTAGGGAGCTTCCAGGGCCAGGTGGTGGGTGGGCTCCACAGAGAAGGGGCTGGCTGCTTTACTGGCTTTTGGGGTGTTGGAAAGAGCTTTTGTTTTACAAAACAGTATTGTAGTGAATAAAGATGACAGATCTTTAAATAAATGCTCCTATTTGCCCACACAAAACACTGGCGCCACAAAATTGCTCCCCACCGGATTTCTAGTGCGCTGGGTCGCGGATGGTTGTGAGGCTATGTGACTGAGGCGACTGAGGGAGGACTGTACTCTCCACTGAGGCATAGTCTCATGCCTAGCAGTATCAAGTTCACATGTCCATATGCAAACACACAGACACATCTGCACACACACATGTGAGCACACACACACACGCTTGCCTATGTGGAGTGTATATAAACATACTCATGTAACAAAGTATGCCTGTGAAAGCAAGTGGAATATAAGCACACCACACACAAAGCATATCAGTACACACACATACGTGTGCTGTGCATGCCAACATGAACGTGCAGACACGAACACATGCAGGCACACATGCCCAGAGGCACACACAAACGCTTGGACAGCCCGTGCACACAGCACTGCGAGTTGGCATCTCAGGACCATCTAGAACAATTCAGACATCTGCCGCAAAAGACTCGAATGTTCTGTCTTTTTCAAAGCTGCAGTATCAACCACAGGGCTCCCCAGGGACCTTGGGGACAGGGACAGGTTGGGACAAGAGCACTCGGGAGAGGCCAGGGTTGTGTATTCAAATTTATTTTTGACGAACGTTCAGCCACAGTCTCCTGACTGTGGGTGGGGTGTGTACATTCAGTTTTGTTCTTTTTTAAAAAAATGGTTTCTGTAAAAGAGTTTTTGGTAATTACCTAATTTGGGATACGGTAGCTATATACAAAACATCACTGGAAACCGCCTCACTACACAAGAGAAAAATAGAAGCATCAGGTCTCATGATTTGAGCAAACGGTGAAAACCTCTGAAGCCCGGGACTTGGGCCGCAGCTGCCGACTACAGGACCTCCACCTTGCCCTAACTTGAGTGTTAGGGGTCGCCTCTTCCAGCGTGGGTGAGACGCTTCAGGCAACGGTGCTGAGAGACTGCACTCAGCTGGCTAGCACATCAAACGAAGCTGGCCCGCGAGGCTCGTTTCAGAGAAGCTATTACAACAGTGAGTGCCGAGGACCTCGTATCCCCGTGAGTGAAAATATAGGCGTGTTACCAAAATAGAAGCCTTTATTGAGAAAAATCTTTGGTAGTAACGATATTTTAATTTCCTCTCAGTATTTGGTTAACTAATGAAATAAACTCCTTCCACCTTGAGCTACAGAAAGAAAAATCCCTCAAATACACCACATTATTGATTTTTAGACAAAAACCAATAGAGGTTCTAAAAAGTGACAAATGAAGCCACGGAGGCTCTGGGGCTTGGTGGAGCCCTTCAGCCTTTCTAGAGCTGCCCTGCCTGTCATCCCAGCTTGGCTCCCAAGGAGGATGTCAGCTAGGTGTGAGGGGCCCTCGAGGGGCTGAGTTGGAGTCTGCCCGGGACACCAAGGGTGCTGGGGGGGGGGGCGCTCCTGGGCACCTCAGTTACTGGAGAACAAGAAGCTGCTGTGTGTGTGTGCTATGTGGGTAGCCAGGCACTTCTGCTTCTGACTCTGGGTCTGAACTTCTGAGCTTCCAGAAGAAAAGCCAGTGGAGACGTTCACCTTGTCCAACTACAGCAGGCGACATCTTTGGGAACCCGAGTCTCCGTCATTCATCCTTCTGCAAAATGTCGCCAGGTTCCCAGACACCGTTCTGCACCTATCTCGAGGCATCCTTCAGATTAAGGATGCTGACTCGAGGCCTTGACCCCTTACCTCTACGGGGGGTGGGGTGGGGTGAGGGTGGCTCTGTGTCCTCCTCATGCGTCCTTGCCCCATTCATCCCTGTCACCAGCCGTCCTTGGCGTTGAATACTAAAGATAAAAAGTCCCTGCTGCATAATGGCCTTGTGCAAAAATGAGAAGAAACAGAAAGAACGAAGACCGTTGTTGAATGAGTGGCCCTCCACGAGTACAGACGACACAAGAGCCACAGGCCCCGGTGGGGCTAAAAGTGCTGGCTCTGGAGGAAACCAAGTGGTCACTTGGTGATGGTCAGAAGCCTGCTGGCCTGCTGGCCTGCCATCATGGCTACAGCGCGCCCCCGTGGTACTCGTAGCTGGGGACGGGGCTGTCGTCGCCTGCCTCGGGGCGGGCCGTGGGGCTGTGGTTGTTACAAGGCACGTCCCTCGGCTTCTCCTTCTCCATCCACGTGTCCAGGAGCTGCTGCTTGCCCTGCTCCTCACGCATAAACAGCTCCACCATAAGAACCTTCTCCTTGTGGATCTGCTGGCTGATGTCTTTGGGGATGTCGGGGATCACCCAGTCCACGAAGTCACTCATGAACATCACCAGGTTCTGCAGGGAGAACAATGAGGGGGATGTAGCCGGGGGGGGGGCTGGGAACACCCCAGCCTAGTGTCCACATCACCTGTGCACCCGCTTGCCCATCTCACCTGTGTGCCCCACCCGCACATCCCTACCTATATGCCCCACGTCTTGTCTACCTGCTCCAAGCGGCAAAGCCCATCCCTCCTCTCTCTGTCCCTGTGCATGCCCTCATTCTTCTGGGCCTCACTTTCCCAGAAGGTACAAACAGGACAGGGAGGTACGGCCCCTGGAGACCTGGGGCTTTCTGAGAAGCTGGGGACGAGGAGGGTCTTGCACTCCACTGCCCCGTTGCTGGCTTTCTTGAGGAATCTGAACTGGGTTGTCAAGAAAACGCCCTGAAAGAGACTGATTCTTCAGTTGGGATCTTCACAAGTGACTGACTGGCCAGGCTCCTAAACAGCGATGGACACCAAGGCTGCAAGGAACACTCTTAAGGGCAGAAATGGCCTGCAGTATCAGGAGAGAGCTGAGGGCTGGTCCTTGAAGCCTGAGGTCTGCTAGGTCCCATGGTGCTGGCCATGGCAGTGGAGATGTTTTAGGGACAAAACAAAGTTAAGTTGGCTTGTATGGAAGACCAAGGTTCTTGTTCACGGAATGTCTTGCAGAACATTCACTGCACCTGCACGTGGGTGATTGGGCACTCCCAGCGGGGTTCCCAGCTTTGACTTACGGCACAGCTAGGAACCCTCTGCCCTCTGGCCTCCCTGTTCCCAGTCTGGCTTCCGGAGTCAGTGACCAGCCCTTTAAGATGATAGGGGCCTGTTATGTTCCGGTGGCGGGGCCAGCCTGTGCCTGCTGGGGTGGGCAAAGCTGCCCTCCATGGAAACCCTCTCCACTATGCCCCTGCCTGCTATGCTCTACCCTTAGAGCGGCAGTTCTCAACCTGTGGGTTCACGAATCAGATATCCTATATGTCAGATATCTACATTGTGATTCATAACGGTAGCAAATTTGCAGTCATGACGTAGAAATGAAATGATTTTATGGTTTGGGGGTCATCACCGCATGAGGAACTGTATTAACGGGTCGCAGCATTAGGAAGGCTGAGAACCACTGCTGAAGAGGGCTTCCCTCAGTAGCCCTCATCTGTGCTGGGTAGTTTTCTGTCAATTTAACAAAAGTTATGGTCATCTAGTTAAGAGGGAACCTCCATTGAGAAATGCCTCCATCAGATTGGCCTGTAGGCAAGCCTGGGGGACATTTTCTTTGTTTCAAAAAATTTTTAAAAATGTGTTTTAGTGTGTTCTTAAGTGTATGTCTGTGCAACATGCACGTGCCTGATGCTCAGGGAAGCCAGAAGAGGGCGCTAGATCCCCTAGCATTGGAGTTACACAGATGGTCATGAGCTGCCTGACCTTACGGATGCTGGAAATTGAACCCACGTCCCTTGGAAGAACAGCTAGTGCTCTTAAATGCTGAGCCATCTCTTTCTGTGAGGCGTTTTCTTGACAGAGAATGTGAAATGTGAAAGGGCCCAGCCAGCTGTGGGAGCAGCCATCCCCAGGCAGGTGGCCCTGGGTTGTAGAAGAAATGAGCCCAGCGAGATTCGGGAGGCAAGCCAGTAAGCAGCACCCCTCTGTGGCCTCCGCATGAGCTCCGGCCTCCAGGTTCCCATCCTGACATCCCTCAGTGATGAGGTGTAACAAACAAACTCTTCCCCACATTGGTTCTGGTCGTGGTATTTATCACAGCGACAGAGGAGACTAGGGACATTATCCCAATAGCTTCTGTCCCCACTTCAGTGAAAGGCTGAGGGAGGAATGAGTGCCCAGCAAGGACATGGAAGTAACAGAGCAGGGAAGACCTGTTAGAGTTCCTGGCTCTGAGTGTTCACTCAGGTGTCTTTTTGGCATAGATTTCTCTGATGCCAAAGGGATGTGCAGGGACATGGCCTGGGCAGCATGGGCCTTAGTAGTAACTACTCTCTGGCCTGTCAATCCCTTCAGTCAAGGGTGTGTGTGTGTGTGTGTGTGTGTGTGTGTGTGTGTGTGTGTGTGTAGTTCAGCCCATAGTAGGTGCTCCTGCCTGGGGTCTGGAGTTATCTGAGTGCCACTGCCTTCAGTTTAAAATTGCCCAGAGACACAGAGGGAGATGAGCGGGGACAGAGACTGGCCTCTGGCTCCTGCGAGTCTGCTCAGTGGATCTTACAGCTTTCAGCAGCTTACCCTGCTTTTTCCTGTTCCAGGACATTCTCTTGGGCACTGCTCAGGTTCGGGTCAGTCAGTGTCCTCCCCAGAGTCCCCCAAGATGTTTCTTGGAGGCTGGCCCCCAAGAAGGCCCAGCCTCCTGCCACTCTCAGTTCCCCCTTCCCTGCCAGAACTTCCCAAGTGCTGCCCCTCCACTTTCTGAGGACGGACATCCCCAACACACACATACCTGGAAGACAATGACAAATGCCAGCCGGGCGGCCAGGACGGCCCAGAAGTCTTTGGAAATGTCGTATTTGTGTTCTGACCATGGGGGCTCACGGTAATCTTTGTACCTGCAAAGGGTATCAGGAGTCAAGGACAGGTCACGTGGATCTTGGGCCCCGAAGAGAAGTTTGGGGACTGAGCCAGGCTCTGTGGCTGGCTGCAGAGATGGCCTGCTCTCTGCCCAGAAATTCTCTCCACATTGGATGGGGTGGTCAGGGCCTGGGGGCTTGGCATAAGACAGGCCCCAGGGACTTTGGAGAATGTTGGAAGTGCTGCGGCCCTGGGGACCTTTTGGGGCAGACTCGCTGCAGTGTGTTCAAACCTTTAGGACAGGGGTGGGATGTCCTGATTTAAAGGGATGCATTTGGTGTGAAGGTAACAGAGGATGGCTAGTTTTCTTCTTCTTTTGAATGTTAGCTACGTGTGTCTGTGCGTCTATGAATGTGCATCAGTGTCAGGGAGCAGCAGGTCCTCCTGGGGTTGGTAACGTGAGTGGTTGTGAGGGGTCAGATGTGGGTTATGGGATCTGAATGTGGGTCCCCAGAAGAGCAGCTGGTGCTCTTAACCGCTCATGACTGATCTTGACTGTCTACTTGACTAGATGCAGAACTACCATGGGGGGCTGGCGAGATGACTAGCCCGTGAGGGTGATGGCACCAAGCCTGACTACCTGCTTTTGGTTCCCAGAGAGAGAACTGAGTCTTGAAAATTGCCCTCTGCCTTACACAGGTGCACCATGGTACATGCACTCCCCCAAACAAACAAACAAACAAACAAACAAACAAACAATAAACCACCGTAGTAGAATCACCATGGACCCCTGGGCAGGTCCGAGGGTGTCTCCAGAAGGTTAACCAGGTGGGAAAACCCACCTCGAATGTGGGTGGGGTCCTCCCAGGGGCTGGGGTCCTGGGCTGAATACAGAGGAAAAAGCAAGCTCATTCCCAGCAGTCTCTCTCTCTGCTTCCTGGCTGTGACACAATGTGGCCAACCAGCAGCCTCAGGCTCCTGCTGCCTTGACTTCCCTCATGATGGGCTTGCCCCCTCAAACTGTGAGCCAGGACAGACCTTCCGTTGATTTTTGTCACAGCGGTGAGATACATAGCTAATATAATACAGTTCCCAGAGGCAGGGACAGGGTCTCTACAGCAGCTGGTGTGTTCCGGGCTGGTCACTAATGGCTTCGAAGCCCAGGGAAGTGATACCAGGAGGAGGCACCTGGCCCTAGAAGCACAACTCTGATGCTCGGCTCACGCTTATTGTCAACTCGCTGTGTGTCCCCAAGTACTTGCTTGGCCTCTCTAGGCCTCAGTCTGAGCATTCCCTCACTTGTTTAGGTCATAAGCATCTGTCAGTGGCTACTGAGTGCCTGGCCGCATCCCAAAGGACACATGAGTGAGAACACAGCAGATGGGGCCTTTTGTTCATGGAGGGAGTTAGACAGGAGTCTCTAGGGCCTGTTTTCCACGGAACTACCAGCTCCCCAGATAGGACCAGCTGGGGATGGTGGCAGGTGCTGAACAGAAATTGTACAATCACTCTGATGGGAACAAGTGGCCTGTGCTCCCGGAGCTCACAAATGACTGTTCCTCCTTTTCCTTCAAAGCCTTGGGTCCTCTGGAAAACTCCGATGCATCCCTGAAAGCCCACTCAATGACTCTCTTCACTTGCCGTCTCCCACCAGCCATACTGACCTCCAAATTTGTTTTCTTCCCTTGCTTAGCTTTATTAATCAGTGGCCTTTCTCTAGCCCCCTTGGGGAGAAGAGAATGTGGCTTCCCAGTGTGGGTGGGGCTGGCCTGGGCCATGCCTGCTTTAGCACAGAAATCAACAGAGGCCTGTAGGAATCCCGGGTCCTAGCTCCTGCCTCTGCCACACTCTGTGCTGGCCTGGGCTCCAGCTTTGGGAGGTGGCTGTGGTATATGTGAGGAGTGGCTGAGCTACAGGACTGTGGTCCAGATGGTGAGAAGTCTGGATGCAACTGGAGCTGGGGTCGAGGGCCTCTGTTTTCATGGGGCCGAAGCAGCAGGAGCATAGGTGGGGCTTTGGCCTTGTGTTTTTGGAAATCTGCTTCCCTGGCTTGGCGTGGCGTCCTCTAGCTGTGTCCTCCCTGCCACCAAGTGCGCCTCACCCTCGGCACCATCGCCACTCTGCCGGGAGTGTGCAGAAAAACGAGCCACTTCTGATTTCACCGAGTGCCCAATGGTGCCCGAGGTGAGGGTGCTTTCAGTGATACTGGGGTGTCCTGCAGTCTGGCTGCCCGATGCGAGGCTGGATTTTGAGGTGTCTCCCTGAGCTGCGTACCTTGACACCACAGTGTCAGGTCATCTTCCCCCTCTTCTCCTCTTTGCTCCCCAGTGCAGGAGTCCCCTCTTCAGGGAGCATCATTGCTTTCCCCAGGAGTGACCAACACCACTGCTGGTGTGCTCACATCGGGGCCCAACCGACCCACAGCTCCATGGACGAGATTTTGACTCCACAGGGAGCAGAAACTACCAACACTCACAAGAAATCTGCTTTGAACTTGGTCCTTTCCCTGGCTAGCAAGAGGTGGGGGCTGAGTCCCTCTCTCCGGACTGGGTACCTGGAGACCCTGGGGCAAACGGAGGGTACTCTGCAGCCATGCTGGGCAGGGGAGGCCAGGGAAAGCTACATGCTTCTGAGGTGACTTGTGTTTTCAACTTGGAAGGGTTTGCTGGGCTGGGAGGATTTCTGTCCAGGGCTATGTGCAGAGACAGAGCTTTCAGACATGGAGGTCATGCTGGGCTGTCTCCTCTCAAAACCTGCCCTCCTAGCCTCCACCTCTGCCCTTATTTCTTTATTTTTGCCTCTGAGCAGGGTTCCATGACAGCTGCAGCTCCGTCCCCCAGCACCAAACCACATAGAAGTGGTGTTCCTTTTCTTTCCCGCTCTCTTTTTCCTTGTCGTAGCCTGAAGCCACTTGAATAAATAAGTATTACTTGTAACTTATTCATACATAAATATATCATATATAACAAATATAATATATAATGCATTTATAATAACTATATAAATTTATTTATTTGAGGTAGGGTCTCATTAGCCTAGGTGCCTCAAACTCAATATGTAGGCTTGAATTCCTGATCCTCTTACTTCTATCTTCTCAGTATGGATATAACAGTGTCAGGCCCTGCTTTTTTTGTTTGTTTGTATGTATGTATGTATGTATGTATGTATGTATGTATGTATGTATGTATATATGTTTTTTGCGACAGGCTTTCTCTATGTGGCCTGGCTGTCCTGGGACTCACTTGGTAGACCAGGCTAGCCTTGAACTCACAGAGATCTGCCTGCCTTTCGTGCCACCACCACCACCACCACCACCACCACCACCACCATCTGGCTCCAGGCTCTACCTCTTAAAGGTACCTCTCCTCTGCCACCCTGCAAAGAAGCTTCCCACATGGGAGTCTTCAAGGAAAACCCACATTCATGCAAGAGCATGAGCTAAGGTATCATGTTGGCTTCTAGGGAAGAGATCATAGGCAAGACAGAAGCTCCAGGGACAGTGAAAGCTCTCTGCCCCTCCCTGCCAGTCTACCACAGCTGGGCAGCATGTACCTTTAACCCCAGCAGTCCTGCTTTAAGTCCTGCAGTCCGGACTTAGACTTGGGACCTAAAGACAAGAGGATCTCTGTGAGTCTGGAGACACCAGACCTACATAGTGAGTTCCAGGCCAGCCAGGGCTATGCAGTGAGACTTTGTCTCAAAGGAAGTAAAAGCAAAAACAAAAACGATTTTTACTTATTTTATGTGTATGAATGTTTTGCCTGCATATAAGAATGTTTGTGCACCACACGCATGCTTAGTGCCCATGGAGGCCGGAAGAGGGCCTCAGATCCGCTGTTGCTGGAGATATAGATGGTTATGAACGACCTTGTAGGTTCTGGGAATCAAACACAGGTCCTCTTTGAGAACAACAAGGGCCATTGACTGCTAAGCTATCTCTCCAGCCCATGTTGGTTTTTGGAGACAAGACCTGATGTAGCACAGGCTGGCCTCAATCTCAATATGTAGCTGAGGATGACCTTGAACTTCTGATCTTTTGTTTCCACCTCCCAGTATACTACGTTTGAGACATGGTCTCAAGTCCTGGTTGGCCTCACTCAAACTCACAGCAATCCCCCTGCTTCCGGCTTCGGGTGTGGTGTTACAGGCATGTGCTACCCCTACAGACATTTTAAAAATTGCTTGTAACTACTCCCGGAGTCCTGCCCGGGAAGAAGCCTGGCTCCTCCTTAGCCTTTCCCAGCTGCCCCTGCAAGGGGCTCTCTTCAGAGGGAGATGAGAAGGCAGTACCTGCAGATCTGAACCTCGTAGCCCAGGTCCAGTGGGTCATTGGGTGCTGTGCCATTCTGGAAGTCACTGACGTTGAAGGAGGAGAGCGTGTGGTTGACGAAGCCATGCATGGTCCCGTTCTGACTGTACATGTAGAGGTATACCAGGCGAGGGATGAAGTCAGACGTGAAGGAGATCACAAAGGCCTGCAGGGAAACAGTGAATGTGGATCTGGGTGAGGCAGGGGCAGGGTGGGGCAGCGCAGCCACAGGAGTGAACAAATGGTCAGGATGCTCCTGTCCTAATCTGCAGCTTGCAAGAGCCTGAAGGGCTGTGGTAGTGGTCCTTAAGTAGGGACAGCAGGGACAGTGGGCTGCCTTTCACAGGCTGTGTGGCTCTGGTTGAAGGTCCCAAGCCCTCTGTGCCATCTTTCTGTTCTTGTTCAACAGGTTGACCATGCCCTTTGGGCACAGACTCAGCTCCTGGGTTTGCTCAAGAAATTTAAGAGCTCAAAGAAAGAATTTGCAAACTGTAAAGTTCTTGCCTACCTTTATGACAGACCTGTCTCTGCAGTGACTTCATGACGGGGTCTGAAGCTCAGTGGCCTTGGATGGCTGTATGGCCTTGGGTAAGTCACCTGCCCTCTCTGTGCCTTAGCTAGCTATAACACGGGCTAGGCCACACTCCCACCAGCTGTCTGCCGGGTAATGGCTTGGTATGTGGCAAGAATACAGAAGGCTTAGAATGTTCTGGGAGCTTCTAACATTGTTGCTGGTGTCCTCATGAACTGCCTTATGTGTGCCCTGGTTTCACACATGCTGTACTCTGGGGCCCCCTTGTTCTGTACTCTGCTGTTGCTCCCTTAGGATGAGACATAGATCTTCAGCTATATTTCAGCCCTTCTCAGTCTCTTTAACAAGGGGCCTTAAGGCCTTAACTGGAGAAGGGAAGACTTGGCAGGAGGGAAGGACAGTGTAGAGTTCGGAGGCTCCTAGCAGCTTGAATATCACCCCTATGACTATTGAGGACTGGAGTCCAGGTGCCCCTGTGTTGGACACCCCGGGCCTGCTACTGTTCTGGGAGCCATTCCTGTTTCCCATGTGCACAGGGTCTGCGCATGGGGGATCAGTCAGCGGATGGAGAGGCAGGAGGTTATAGGGACACTGCTGTGGATGCTGCAGGTCCCCTTGTGGTTCTCATGCTTCTGAGCCAGCCTTGGGCTTTGCCGCAGCAACATGGAGCCTGTGGGGACCACAGTGGCCAAGGGCTACGGCACTCCTGACCTGAGGCTAGGAAAGGCTAGTAGGGGCCATACCATGGGCTGAGAAGACATGGTCATGGGCTGGGAAGGAAGCTAGGAGTGTGACACTGGGCTTGAGGGAGGTAAGAGTGCTGGTTTGTCTCTCCCTTTCCAGCTGTGTTCCAAACAGGCTTTTTGGTGTGTTTGGAGAGAGGTTCTTATGTAGCCTAGTCTGGCCTTGAACTCTCTAGGAGGCTGAATATGACCTTGAACTTCAGATACTTCTGTCTCCTGTTACCCCCAAGTGCTGGAAGAACAGGTAAGTAAACCTCTCCTGCTTTATTCAATGCTGGGGATAAAATTCAGGCCTCGCGCATGCTAGACAAGCAAGCTACCTACTGAGCCACAGCCCTAGTCTTCAAGGGAAGCTTCTAAAGAGAGACATCCCCACAGCCTTGGTGGCCTCACTTGCCCAGCCAGGATTCCTATTCCCATCACTTACATTGATGATGACAGCCAGCTTCCCGACTCCTCTGAGAATGTTATACCAGATGCCTAGGAGAGAAGCAGATAGGGGCTCCTGTGGTCAGGTGTATGGTTTGTGATGCCCACGCAGTGCCTGAGTAGGCCCAACCTTGCAGGCCCTGGGGCAGCTAGAGAACCACCCTCGAATACTAGGTAAGGCACAGAAGGGACCCAGGGAATGTCAGTGCCCTTGGCTATACTGTGTTGCTATGTCACCTTATGGGTTGTCTGTGAGTACCCAGCCTTAGACGCCTTGGTCCCTTGTGGTCCCAGACCTTCCCTGTGAACCTGTCTATAGGTACTCAGTGCAGGAAGAGCCCTTTCCTTCAACCAGTGACCTGGCCTTGACCCCACTGCTTAAGCGTCTGTGGCTAGGGCATCCTGACTGGTGAGGCTGGGATCTTGCCTTGGGTGTGATGCTCAGCAGTGTTCAGCCAATCACCATGCTTGGATAAGCCCTGGCTTCCATTCCTATGATCCCAAATGGGGAGAGAGCCTATACTAAGTGTGGTGGGACCCTGCTTCTTGGCCATCGACCATTGAAAAAGGAAGGAACAAAGCCCAGGAAGGAGGTGAGGTGCTGGTTGGGGCCTCCAGGTTGTGATTCTTGCAGGGAGTCTCATGCCCTGTATGCCTCAGTGCCAACTTCACCCATGAGGCTGGCTGTGTGCCCAGGGGTCCTGTCTTGAACTACACTCCATTAGGCCACGAGTGTGTCCCGTCCATATTTGGCTTGCATCCCTGGGCCAGGTCTGTGTGATGGCCCATCCACCCTTGGGGAAACTATGGCAAGTGCTTTGTTTCAGGTGTGGTGTATGGCCTAATGCTAGGAACTTCTACCTAGGAACAGTTTTGAGCTTCACACCGATGGACCATGAGGCCAGCAGGTGTTCAGCCCTGCGTGTCCCAGCAGCCAAGGCTATGGCAATGTGCATGTGTCAGGTATATCCTCCTGCCTCATCTAGAGATGATTCCAGCTTCAAACAGTCTCCATCATAGCAACGAGGCACCCACATGTAGCTATCAGGTAGGAAGGCTAGGAAAGAGCCATCCCACGTCCCTGACCCTGGGATAGCCTACTCCGAGATGAGATGTTCATGCACATCCACCCGGTGCTTCTTGTCATGGTAGCAGAAGCGGTAGGCAGACAGGTAGATCCTGCGTACTGAAAATCCCATAGGCCTGAGAGAGCCAGCAAGCTAGGAGGGAGAGCATCCCTGTTAGGTCACTGCAAACATACTTCACCAGTGGGAGCACTGCATGCACAGTCTCTTGTGTCGTTTTTAGTTTGTTTGTTTGTTTGTTTGTTTTTGTTTTCAGGAGCAGAGAGCTCTTCTGTAGACTCAGAACAGGATGTGGCTTAGGCACCCCTATGGCTCCCGAGCCCTGTGGCATTTAGCCGTTAGATGTTTGACGACAGCGTTGCAGGAGTGTGCAAAGCCTTTTCAGAAAAACCCAGAGCAGAGGATACAAAGATGCAGGTCTGCCAGCTGCAGAGCCCTGAAAACTGTTGGGTCAGTGAGATGGTCCAGCAGGTAAGAGCTCCTTTTGCTCAAGCTTGATGACAAGAGTTCCATCTCCTGAACCACAGCAGGAGACAGAACCCACTGTTCTGTAAGTCGGGCTTCTTATAGAGATGCTGTGGCTGACACTGGCAGCTCCCGCAGGCCAGCTGACCACACATGTTCCCTTATATATGCCACCTCTTGGAGCCATGAGACGCTTCTTGCTCCTTTAGCTCTTTTCTTTATCCTTCCTTCCTTCCTTCCTTCCTTCCCTTTCTTCCTATTTTCTTTTCTTTTCTTTCTTTCTTTCTTTCTTTCTTTCTTTCTTTCTTTCTTTCTTTCTTTCTTTCTTTTTTTTTTTTTTAGATAGGGTTTCATGTGGCCCAGGCTAGCTTCAAATTCACTATAAGCCAAGGACAGTTTTAAATTCCTGATCTTTCTGCTTCCACCTCCTGGGTGCTGGGACTACGCTTGGCACATGGTAGTATGCGCCATCATGACTGAGTTATGAGACGCTGGCGGGGACCTTTGTGCATGCCAGGCAGGTACTCTGCCTATGCCAAACCCTTAGCCAAGCAAAGGTATAGTTCAGGGTGGCCTCAACTTACTTCATCTTATTCATAGGGTCATACTCTGGAGCACAACTTCTGGCCTGGAACTCACTATGTAGCCCAAGCTGACCTCAGACATGCAGCAATCCTCCTGCCTCACCCTCCCGAGTGCTTAGATTTGCAAGCATGGCTATGCCTGATCTATAGATACTTTTTAATTTCAACATTTGTTTTCAGTTTTCCAGGGCACACACCAGGAATAGAATTGCTGGGAGACTGATAATTCTGCAGTGTATTTCAATCTCAGAACTCCAGTCAGAAAGGGAGGGGAAAGTTCTTCCCCTTCCCTCCTCTTTGATCGTTTTAGACAGGGTCTCACTGTGTAGCCTTAGCTGGTCTGGAACTCACAGAGTCCACCTGCCTCTGTTTCCTGTTGGAATCAAAACCATGTGCCAGAATGACTGGCCAAAGTCTATTTTTACTTTATTATTTTTGGAGACAGGTTCTCACGTAGCCCAGGCTTGACTTTGAGATGAGGATCCCAGAATGACCTTGAACTTCTGATCCTCTTGCTTCTACCACCTGAGTTCGGGGATTGCGGGCGTGTGCCTTCGCACGAGAATCTTTTTCTCCTTCTTCTTCTCTTCCTCCTCCTCTACAACTCTACTGGACTCTAAACTCCATTTCCAGTAGCTTGACAAGGAAGCATGCTGCTTCTCGTGAACATGGCACCCACTCACCTCAGTGCTGAGACCAGCCGCTACATGCAGTGTGGCTCAGGCAGTCATTACTGCCTAAAGACCTGGATTCTGGGGTCCCCGACAGAGAATCCCAGCTAAGAGCCTATGTGATAAAGGCTCCTGCTGTCTGGAGCACAGCTGCCACTATCCGGGGTCTGTGGGGGTGCAGGCCGCTGGCGCCACTGGGTCTCCTGTCCCCTGGGAAAGCTGGCCCAGAGGCTCTGCACGGATCAGAGGAGGAAGACAAAAGCCCCTTTGAGCAAAAGGTTACAGCTCAGGAGGCCACAAACAAGCGTGTGAAAGGCAGGTCACGCCTCCAACCAACTAGGCAGGAACCAGGAAGCAGCCGCTGATCCGTGAGGCCTGGGAAAAAGCAAGGAGCCCAGAGCAAGGGCTCTGAGGACACACCAGGAGCCCTGTGGGGGTGGGGAGGACAGCAGAAGCTAGCAGGCTACCCACACTACCCTGTTCACCTGGAAACCTGGTATTTCTAGGGTTCTAGAGGACACCCTGTAAGGACAGCAAGCCTCTGTCCTGAAGCAGAATTACCAAACAGTAGAATAACAAAAGAGGACTCTGCTCAGGCATTTGTGAGAACCCACCAGGGGGACAGTGTGGCCATACACTGTCCTTCCTTTCCAGCTGTGAGGCAGCGAACTGAAGAGCTTCTAAAAACTACCTCAGAGAGTCCAGTTCCCTTTGGGCCTCCAGCATTCAGTAGAGGGTCTGCAAAGCTGACCCCCTGTTCATCTAGGAGGGGGAGAGTCCTGCTTTTCTAGGAGGTAGGACTCTGCTCAGGCATCCTCTCAGTTTCCTCCAAGGGCCAGGCGGGTGGAGAGTTCCAGGAGAAGTTTGCACTGGGCATATCTCTGGACTTGTCTCAGAGCAGGATGCGGGGTGCCCATCCTGTGGCTCAGACACAACCCAGATGTGGCCAGTGGCCAGTGGTTCTACATCAGCCCTCTGTGGAAAGGCTTTTACGTTTCTCAGAGCAATGGGAACGTGCCTGGATTTGGCCTTCCACTGAGAAGAGTTGTGCCCCTAAAGCTGTGGCAAGCCAAGTGCCCCTGAAGGGCTCTTGTAGCTCTGAGGTCAGCAGTCTGGACATAGCTGGGTGTGGCTTACCCAATGACCACAACAGGGCAGAATAGGGGACACTGGAGCCCACGAGGGTCAGTTTGTCTAGGGACTTTGAATGCTTTTAAGTCTGTGGGTAGAACCCAGGGAGACCCACTTGGGTGTCTGTTTCCATTGTCTGAGTTGCCTGGGCAGTAGGTGGCATCAAGAAGCCACAGTGTCCAGGCACATTATGGGGACCTCACATATGAGCCCTGGCTCTGACCTCTTCCTCACCTGTTTCCAGGCTACTCTCAAGGCTGGGGGTGGGGGCAGGGTATGTGTCCTTACCTGCTGGTAGCATAGATGTGAGGTAGGTTATAGAACCAAACAGATGATGTCTCCATAGCTCATGTGCTTGACTATGGCCATAGCAATTTCATCCAGCTCAGTGTAAAAGGTCACAAAGTGACAGAGAAACCCAGTTCACCTTCTCTCAGAGGTAGCTGAGAGACTAGAGGGTGTGGTCATCCCTGGCAGGGGATGGCCATGCTACCAGAATGGGGCGGCCCAAAGAGCACTCAGCCTGGCAGACACACTAACAGAAGCAGGAAGGAATATGAAGTGGAGGGTGCAATCGGAGGGTTTTCACAGGGGTGGATGGTACAACCCAAGGATCCCCCACATGGTAACCTGGATGTCTAGGGGGCTGAGAAAGGTCTTAGAAAGGCCAGCCACCCTTAACAGTCTTGCAAACTCCCATCTGGGACACAGAACCCAACCCACTTGGGAATATAATCTATACGGGTAGGTGACCAATGGCTTCCCTCGTGTGATTCAATCTTTGTTTATTCCAAGTGTCAGCCCAGAGCTGCCCTTCTCACTGCTCAAGAGGAGATGGATTAAAAGTGGGTCTCACTTTAGAGTAAAAAGGACATCATCCTTACAGGCTCTGGCTGATGTGTGCATCGCGTCTGGAGCTCTGTCAACTCCATCTTCCATGTCCTCTACTGTTCCCGGATACACGCAGTGTTTCTGCTTAACTGCCTCTGATGATGGGACACTCACTACCAGGGGGATGGGTGCTCTTCCTTTGATGCCGCAGACTACTGCAGTGCTGTGAACCCCATCTCCCATCCCCCTGCTCACCATGCACAACACGCAGCCTAGAGACTCAGGGTTCAAAGCCTCATCCTGGGTTTCATCCTGGCCTTGAAGTTCATGGGCAAGTCATTCAATGACAAGACTATGTGTATGTGTGTGTGTGTGTGTGTGTGTGCAGGTACCCTTGCAGGCCAGAAGAAGGCACTGGATCTCCTGGAGCTGGAGTTACACTCAGTTGTGAGATGCCCAACACGAGGGCTAGGAATGAAGTTAGGTCCTCTGCAAGAGTAGCCCAGTACCCTTAACTGCTGCACGCTCTGTCCAGCCCCAGCTATGCTGCTTTCCGTGAGCACTGAGTGTGGTAGGGCTACAGGAGGCAGGGGGTGCTCGCTGAGCAGCTAACGGTCTACCTCTTAGTTCTAGAGCTGCCCCAGTGTTGGAGGATGGGGTGTTGAGAAGAAGCACGGAGGAAAAGCATCCCCTTATCTGTGTCCTACGCCCCCTGGAGAACCAGCACAAACTTACATGACTTTTGGTTTGTGTGTGTGCCTGTGTGCATGCCTGCGTGTGTGTTTGTGTGTGATTTTTTTTTTTTTATAACCCAGTCGTGCTTTTCTGAAGCATGAAATCGGAGGATGACAATGTCATGTCACAACACCAAAAGGGTGGGCATGCCTGAGAGACCTACTTAGTGGATGGCTGAGACAAACGGAGAGCTGACAAATAGTCCCGCATGTCATTGGTTGCTGACACATCTTGGAGGCTGGGGAACCAGTGGACCACATCCAAGATCTTGCACTTGGGAAGGTGGTGGGAAAGCCCTCGTAGGGAAACACTGGTCTGTATCCCACTAGCTTCTCAAGAGCGGCAGCCCCCCTGCCCGCGAGCTCTGAGCCTATCTCCCGGTTCACTTACCAATGTCTTTGGCTCTGATGGCTACTGGCCTCCGTAGCTCAGTGACAAACTTTTTGGCATCCAGGCGGATCTCAATGATGTTGTTTAGCAGGGCAAACAGTGGAGCCAGAGGGAAGGATGCGACAAACAGGGTGACAAAGCCGAACTGAATGACTGTAGGGAAAGCATGCACTGTCAGCAATGCAGCCGCCCACCACCCGGCATCCAGCATGACTCAGACCAGGCCTGCTTGGTACCCTGCCTCGAAGGAGCCCACCTGCATGGACCTGCCTGCCGGTGCATGAGGACCTCTCTGGAGAGAGCAATGTCCAGGCCCAGGGAACTGAAGACAGAAGTCATAGTATCTGGAATTCAACATGGCTGGCCTTAAACTTGTGACAATCCTCCTGCCCCAGCTTCCCAAGTATGGCAGTGTGCCATCATGTCTGGATTATTTATTTACTTCCTATATGTGAGTGCACGTTCACGTTTGCACAGGTGTGCACACGTACACGGAGACCTGAAGTCGTGAACCTCAGTCCTCAGGTGCCGTCCACCTTGTCTGTTTGTTTTTTAAGTAGAATCGCTCTCTGGGGCTTGGGGGTTCAGATTAGGTTAGACTGACTTCCCAGAGAGCCCCGGGGATCCTCCTGTTTCTACCTCTTCTATGCCAGGATTACAAGCCCATCACCACCCTTGGCTTTTCCCAAGGGTTCTGGGGACTGAACGCGTGCCTTCATGTTTGCGTAGAAAACACATCACCTCCTAGTCCATCTCCCCGGCTCTGCCCGAGGTGATTTTTGTACCTGTCTGTAAGTGAGCTCTGGTCATCTTCACGAGGATGTGACTCCTGAGTCCCATGCATGCTCGAGGCTCACACGTCTGATCTTAGGAAATCTCTGCTCACAGGCAGATCGAAGTGAGATCATGGCCTGGCCTGGCCCCTCCGTATCCCCAAATCTCCCTAGGTCAGGAAGGCCTGCTCCCATTACTGTGTCTCAAGAGTCCCTCCTTTCCTCTTCAATCATGCCTAAGACAGTAGGAGGACATCTGTCCTTCATGACTGTCCCAGTTTTCTGTCTCCAGGCCTCGTGTTATTGTTCACCAGTTCTGGGCTTCTTCAGCCCTAAAAGCTGCAGTCAACCTGAGTTGCAACAGGTCAGGAAAAGGTCACCAGAGGGATGTGAGTCGGAAAGCTGGTCCAGGAGCTGTATGGCAGGACCTGGTCCAAGGGCACTCCGTGCCAGAGGGTAAACAAGGAAGCTGCAGAATGTCACCCTGTGCTCAGATGGCTGAGTATGGCCATTGTTACCACAGTGAGGAGGCTGTGGGAACTGTCTCAGATGTCTTGGTGACCTCTCATTGGCCCTGAAGTGTGGGGCAGTGGGGTGGAAGGCCTCTTCGGAGGCCTGAGGTGATGGGGGGTTTTGGTGAAGCAGGACCAGCCACATGCCATGGTTGTATGCATTGCTGTGGTTGTGTGCATGGGCCATGGCTTTTGAGGCTCAGGCTCAGGCTCGGGGTGCTGTAAGGGGGCTTTCCCACTTCAAAATAAGTTGACATGGGATCTCACGTTGCCTAGGTTGGCCTCCACTTTACTATGTAGCCAAATATGATCTTGAACTCCTGATTCTCCTGCCTCCATAGCCCAAGGTCTGGGATTACAGTACAGGCCTTCACTACCATTCCTGGTTTATGCCAGGGATTGAACCCTGGGCTCTGTGCGTGTTAAGCAAGGGACATGCTACACTCTACAAAGGAGCTAGAGTTCCAGCCTTGGCTTTACTACTTCTGAGTGGTAGCACTGCCTCATCCAGCATGAAGGGGATGAAAAAGAGAGAATGGAGGGGAAGTAGGAGAGTCTCTGGGCCTGAAGCTAGTGTGGGATGCCCTCCCATCCGTATCTGTGCGTTCCTGTGCCCAGCCTGAGATTTCCCTGGAAGAGAAGATGGCAGCTAATGAGAAAACCAGGTGAGGCATGCACCCTAGTGGTGGGACGGGGTGGGCTACTTGACACATAACAGACCTCTGTCCCTGAGATCTCCTTATCACTAAGCCCTGGAGGATCATGGGAGTCTGAGGTGAGAGTTCAGTAGTTGTGAGAAATGACCATGTCTCAGTCAACTACAGGGTGCTTCTCTGAGGCATCTGGTCTCCCAGAGCCTCCTCAGAGGGCTGAGGCCTGACTTTGGGGACAAGGGGACCAGTGCCCCAACTCTACTGGCCATGACCCTGGGAATGAGCAGGGGGAAGAAAGGAGCTTGGAATTCTGTTTGGTCCCTACCCCCATGCTCTCCTGAATCTTGGGGTGAGATGATTCCTGCCAGCCATGAGGGTGGTCGGGAGTAACCTGCTTAGAACCACATGAGAAGACACAGAGAGTAGCAGGGAGGTGTTGTGGGGGCAGAATCCCCTGGCCAATGTGCTGCAGCCTAAAGGTCACCTGCTCATCACTAAACTCCAGGCCAAGGCTGAAGAGCGCTAAGGCCACATACCAGGCCTGCCTTGCTTTTCAGTACTGTAGAAAATGCAGGATCCAGGGCGGTCCCTCCCCTGCCAGGACCTGGGGCAGGCTTGATGCTGCATTTTTTTTTAGTCCTGTCCATGGTCCTGTCCAGAGGCCTTGCCAGCCTAAGTTCCCTTGTGCTTGAGTCTTCCTGACTGCATTCACTCCTTCATATGTTCAGTGAACATGCACTGAGCATCTGCTGTATACTTGGGTCCATTCTAGGGGCTGCAGACAGCAGTCAGGAGTGGTAAGGAAAGGTCTTCCCTCCACAGGGTTTTCACCCTCCTGTGAGATGGACAGAAAGGGAGGGAAGAACAACTGAGTGTGTTGCTGGGATCTGAAATGGGGCCAGAGAAGGAGCTGGGTCCTATGCCTGGGGAGGTACTAACATTTTCAGCCACTGCAGTCAGGGAAAACCTTTACTGGGGGACACTCAGAGCAGAGTCCTGGGAGAAGGAATAGGGAGGATCCATGCAGGCACCTGAGGGACAGCATTCTAGCGAGGTTAGGTAAAGGCAAAGGTCCCTTGAGAGGCCCGAGCTTCATGCTTACAGAACAATGTGGCATAGCATAGGGGACTGATGGATGGACAGGAGGGAGCCTGGAAGGCCCCAGGGCTACATAGGCCACACTTGGCCTTTCTCATCTCTCCTTGGTCAGCTCTGGGCATCTTTCTATGCAGGCACACCTACTGTTGATGAGGTCTGCCCAGGCCTCTCTATGAGTACTAGCTTTATTCTGGGGTCACAGCAAGCCCAGGCAGAGTCAAGTATTCGGTGCTCAGGAAAAATAGAGGAGCCACAGACCCAAGGGAGAACTCTCAAGGGGTGTGGTTATGGTATCCCAAATGCTGGGGCCTCCGATGGAACTGGTCTTGCTGGCGAGGGAAAGGAATTATTCCTTGACCTTATGTGTCACACTGTGTGGCAGGTGACCATGGGTTGCCAGTCCTGGGCTTTTGGAAGACAAGGTTGGAAGGGACAGTGTTTACAGCCCCGAGGAAGGAGCAGAGCCTAGAGCCAAGAGTAGGCTGAGCTACTCCCCATCCTACCACTGCCTGACGATGCTGAAAGGGGAAGGGGAAATGAGGGTCAGGTGATGTACAAGCCAGCCCCACAGCCCTTTCCCTATTTCTTACCTAGTAGCCTGTTTCCTGTGTGTGTGTGTGTGTGTGTGTGTGTGTGTGTCTGTGTGTGAAGGTCAAAGGTCAATTTCCTGTATCATTCCCCAGATAGGTCTATTTTCTTTTATTGGCACTGATCTCTCACTGGCTTGGTACTCAACAAGTAGGGTAGGCTAGGCTGGCTGTCTAGTGAGCTCCAAGGATCCTCCTGTCTGCTTCCTTCATGCTGGGATTACAAGCATTCACCATCACATCTTTTTTTTTTTTTTTTTTTTTTTTTTTTAATGTGGGTTCAGGGATTGAGCTTAAATCCTAGTGCTTATAAAGTAATTTACCAAGTGAGCCATCTCCCTAGATTCAGTTTCTCCTTTTGTTTCGTTTCGTCTGTTTTGAGACTGGGTTTCACTATGTAGCCCATGCTGTCTTCATACCCAAGAGCCTCCTGCCTCAGCCTCCAAGAGCTGGGATCACAGGCAGGCTTCAATCACTGTGCCCAGACCCATCGTCTTTGTCCGCTCTGCATCCCCGGTGACCTGTGCCCACCACCCTGCCTGGAATACCACTTACTCATCTCCATGTACTCGGGCGTGAGGCCAGCGAAGGGTTCAAGGTTGAAGTCCACCTCATAGCGCTGCTTCCGCTTCACGGATTCCTCGCGGTCAGTGGGGCTCTGCCGGCGCAGCTTCAGGTAGCGGATGAACTTTTTCATCTTCCTGCAGGGGGCGCTGTGTCAGCAAGCGGCTGGGGTGGAGGCTGCGCCCGCCACACCGGAGTTAGACTGTCCTGCCTGCTCTGAGCCTGAACCACGGGTTAGTGTAGTAAAAGAGGCATCTTGTTTTGTTTTGCTTTGAGTCAGGGTCTTACTGTTAGCCCTGGCTGGCCTCAGACTCACCCAAGTCCACCTTCCTCTTCTTCCCTAGCCCTGGGATCAAAGGCATATACCACCATGCCTGGTAGAGGCCTACTGGAAGGGTATGACAGCTCTGCCCTTCTCCCAGAGGCAGCACAGCTCGGCTGGTTTCCTAAGATGCTGAGTGGCAGGGAGAGTGCGAGGCCACTTATTGCTGTGTGAGGCCCTTGGAGGCACCCAGGAAATGTGGGCCGCGCCATGCCCCTGTGGCCTTTCCTCAGTACTCAATGGCTCTAGCTCCAGGGAACCTGCACCTCTGAGGGACGGGTTGAGGGGATTAACCCCTGGGTGGACAGTCTGCCACTCAGGAGGCAGTATGCAGCCAGGGGCTGTGTGGCACCCTAAAGGTGGGAGTCCGTAGCTCCCTGTCTACAGTGGGGCAACTTTCGCTCCATGTCCCCTCTCCATCCTCCTCACCTCCCCGTTTCTGATGTCTCCTACCCCAAAAGAGGCTATTGCTTCACCTGTCATAGAGGCTACTTCAAGAGTCCGCTTGAGTCACCCACCCCACCTGCCACGTCCCCTCCCGAGGCAGCTGCCACTCACGGGATGCCGATCTCAAAGAGATTGTTCTGGATCAGCTGCTTGCCCAGCATGATGATGCTCAGCTGGATGCAGAGCTCCATGAGGCAGCCGCCCGGGGCACACTGTGGGGGAGAGGGCAGGTCAGACCTAGCCAGGCTCTGGGCAGGGGGCCAGGCTGGCCCTCAACCTGTGGGGTGACTCATGGCCTCTTAAAAATTAGGTTCAGGGCTAGGGAGGTGGTGGGTAAGATCTCGTGCTGTGCAAGCATGAGCATCTGAGTTCGAACCCAGAGCCAAGCGTAGTTGCATGGTTTCTCAGCATTGTGGGGTGGAGGCGGAGGCAAGTGGACACCAAGATCTCTCTGGCTGGACAGTGAGAGACCCTCTCTCAAGTCATAAGGAGGGAGTGATAGAGGAAGACATCTGACATTCTCCTCAAGCCACCTCACATACACACATCTGCACACACGCACACACGCACGCACACACGCTCATGCGTGCAGAGGCAGGGGGTTCACATCTCCACCTTCTGAAACTTTGAGAACAAGGCCTTATTTGGGAAAGAAGTCATTGCTGATGTGGTTAGCCAAAGGAGGTGGGACCATGCCCTGCTTCAGTGACCTCTGACCTCTGCAGAACACAAAGACCCAGAGGGAGACTCCAGCATCTGGAGCAATACAGAAAGGGCCACCAAGAAGCCAGGACTGGTGGTACGCACCTGTAATCCTAGCACTGTGAAAGTAGAGGTAGGAGGATCAGGAATTCAAAATCAACTCAGTTACGTGAGGCTGGCGTAGGCTACATTAGACCTCGGCTCAATAAAAAGAATAGGGAGCTGACTCAGTCAGTGAAGTACTTGCCCCACAAGCACCGGAATTCCATTCCCAGCTGGGGGTGGCTGTGTCTGTAATCCCAGTGCTGGGGAGGCAGAGGCAGAAGGATTCCTGAGGATTACTGGCTTGTCAATTAGCTTAGCCTGCCTGGTGAGCCTACTCAGGTTGGCCTTTGGCCTCCACATGTACACACTATATACACACAAACACATACAACAGAGAGAAACACACATACACATACTATATACACACAAACACACACAACAGAGAGAAACACACTTGTACAAACTGAAGAGAAGGAGAGAGGGAAGGAGGAAAGGAGGATGGGTGGAGGGAGGGAGAAAGAGAAGGAGGGAGAAAGGGAGGGAATGAGTTATCAGCGATTCTATAGATGCTGGGAGAGGTGGGCCACCCTCCTCAGGAGCCTTCAGAGGAAAGGGTCCCTACAACACCTTCATGTGCTTTGTCTTTTCAGGGTTCAGAGACAGGTGAACCAGCAAGCAGGTGGGTAATGGAAGATGGCCAGACCTCAGGCTCCTTCCTCTCCCCTCCCTGGGGCTTGCACAATTCTTTTTTTTTTGTTTGTTTGTTTGTTTTTAAGGAGAATCTTTTTTTTATTATCATTTATTATAATTTATTCAATTTGTATCCTGGCTGTGGCCCCCTCCCTCATCTCCTCCCAATCCCACCCTTCCTCATCTTCTCCCCCTATGCCCCTCCCTCAGTTCACTGATAGGAGAGGTCCTCCTCCCCTTCCATCTGACCCTAGCCTATCAGGTCTTATCAGGACTGGCTGCATTATCTTCCTCTGTGGCCTTGGAAGGCTGTACCCCTCCCCCCAAGAGGAGGTGATCAGAGAGCCAGCCACTGAGTTGTTGCCAGAGAAAGCCCCTGCTCCCCTTACTAGGACCCCACTTAGATACTAAGTATATGGGCTACATCTCAGCTGAGGTTTTAGGTCCTCTCCAGGCATTGTCCTTGGTTTGGGTGTCAGCCTCTACAGGATCCCCAGGGCTCAGGGTTTGTTTGTTTGTTTTTTGGCTCTGTTGGTCTCATTTTGGAGCTCCTGTCCCCTCCAGGTTTTTCTGTCTCCCTCTTCTTTCATAGGATTTCCTGCACTCTGCCCAAAGTTTGGCTATGAGCATCAGCCTCTGCTTCAAGACCTTAATCAGTAGAGTCTGTCAGAGGCCATCTGTGGTAGGCTCCTGTCCTGTTCCCTGTCTTCTTCTGCTTCCAATGTCTATCACGTTCGTCCTTCTGAATGAGGACTGAGCATCTTCCCTAGGGTCTTCCTTGTTGTTTAGCTTCTTTCGGACTATAGATTTTAGTATGTTTATAGCCACAGCAGGTGGGATCATGAGGTTGGGAAGCCTCATGTTGTGGTGGTGGCCAGTTCGCTGAGGCTCAAAAAACCCCACAGTTCCCCACTGTTGGCTAGGGCTGGCAGGCAGGGGCTGATGAGATGTGTGAAACCAAACTGGCCCAAGCACAAAGGTGAGCCCTGGACACAGTGATTGCCAGAGTTTTGAGCAAAACTTTCTATAGAGTCACTAAAGTCTTCGTCCTAAAGAGCTATCATTCCACTAAAAACACTTGGTCTGCATGTTCTACACTGACCCTCCTCTAACCCTACGGAGGCTGCAGAGAGGATGCTGTGCAAGAAGCAAAGAATCCTCCACAAACCACTACATCTGTAGAGGAGGCCCTGGGGTGCCTGGGCCTGTGGTCAGATAACTGAACTAGGCTGACCTCAACTATCTGATCATCTCTTTGTACCTCATTCCACTGTTTCCTTATCAGGAAGGCCCACTCCTGTCTCTACTGGTGTGTGTGTGTGTGTGTATGCATGTCTGTGTGTGTGTGTGTGTGTGTGTGTGTGTGTTTGACATATACTTGTGCTTGCATGCATGTGGAGGGCAGAAGTCAGTCATTTCTCAGGAGCCATCCAGCTTGGTTTTTTAAAGACTTTTTTTTTTCCCCAAGACAGAGTTTCTTTGTGTAGCTCTGGCTGCCCTGGAACTTTCTCTGTAGACCAGGCTGGCCTGAACTCACAGAGATCTGCCTGCCTCTACCTCACAAATTCTGGGATTAAAGGTGTGTACCACCACTGCCCAGCTTAAACAATTTTTTAATTTTAAGTATATGAATGTTTTGCCTGCATGTATGTCTGTGTACCACACATGTGCCTGGTGCCCATGGAAGCCAGAAGAGGGTATTAGATGTCACAGGTTTGGAGTTACACGTGGTTATGAGCCACAGTGTAGGTGCTGAGAACCAAACCTGGGTCTGCTTTAAGAGCAGCAAGTGCCCTTAACCATTGAGCGCTCTCCAGCCCTTAGGCCTGGCCTTTTGTATGAATGCTAGGGACCAGACATAGGCCCTTAGGCCTGTACAAGCAAACACTGAGCCATCTCTCGAGCCTCACTCCCTTGTTTTCTGATAAGCTGAGCTTTCTTGTGGGCTGGAAATGCTAGCTGGCTACCTGGAGACCTGAACCTCTGGCAGATACAATGGAGCAAGCCTAAAGGTCAGGGCTGTGTCAGAAGGTGAGCCTCCAGGGCCAGAAGCCAAATGTTTCCACACTGGCTCTAAGGACAGAGGTGGGTGCTGCCATGCCGGAGTTTAAGAGAATGCAGCCAAGGTCTATTTTTCCTTCTTAATTCACTTTAACCAGAGAGGGAAATAGTCAAAGGCTATTGAAAGTAGCCCCAAGGAAGCTAACGGAGTCGAGAGAGAGAGAGAGAGAGGGAGGGTGGGAAATGGAAGAGGGAAGAGGCAGGGATTAAGTGAGGAGCAGAATAGGGAACATGGAGGTGAATATGATCAAAATATGTTACATATGTGTATGAACATGTAAGGAGACCCATTATGTGTAATTAGTATGTACTGATAAAAACAGGGCAGATGGGCTGGCTCCATGGGTAAAGGAGCTTGTCACTGAGCCTGGAGACCTGAGTTCAATCCCAGAGAACCAACTCCTGAAACTTTACACTTCGGCCTCTACACGTGTATCATAGCTTGCACATGTGCACACACACAACAAATAAGTAAATGTGGTAAACAAAAAAAAAAACAAAAGATTTAAAAAGGAGGTTGGAGAGAGACGAGCGAGCTACTCAGAGCCCTTAACTGCTCTTCTGGCGGATCTGGTCAGCAGCTCTGTTGGTTGGCTCACAACCAGCTGCAACTCCTGTCCCAGGAGATATGACACCTTCTGCCCTCCTCAGGCACCCACTCATATGTGATGTACACAGACTCAGGAAGGCACATATATGGGGCTGGAGAGGTGGTTCAGTGGGTAAGAGCAGTGGTTGCTCTTCCAGAGTAACTGGGTTCAATTCCCAGCACTCACATATCTGCAGGTCCAGTTGCAGAGGGTCCAACAACCGTACACAGACATACATGCAGACAAAACACCAGTGCACAGAAAACAAATGCATAATTTCAAAAAGAAGGCACACATACATACACACAAATAATTAATAAATCAAGAACCCTTTATAAAATTAAAAAAAGCAAAAATTTGAACCAAAAGGGTAGCAACAAAAGCTAGGCATGACCCCCTCTCTATCTTTCCCCCTTCTTCTCTTCCTCAAGGTAGAATCTCGCTGTGTGGCCCAGGCTGCTCTCAGCTGGGATGGTAGGTGTGGACTGTCATGCTCAGCTAACTGTTTCCCCCTGGGATCCTGGACTGTATAAATGAAGAACAGGAACAGAGCTCGAGCATCCTTGGTTCTCTGCTTCCTGACTGTGTTCGAGACGTGACCAGCTGCCTCAGGCCCTTGCTGCCTTGACTTTCAGCCCTGATGAGCCACAGCCTCGAATTGTGAGCTGGAGCAAACCTTTTCTCCCTTAAGTTGCCTTTGTCAGAGTGTTTTAATCTCAGTGACGGGGAAAGAAACTAAGACATTATACACCCACGTGGGCATGTGAAGAGGCAAGAAAGTGTCCTGCCTGTAGTGCAGAAGACCAGAGGACAGGAAGCTAAGCAGAGGGCTGCTGGGAAGGGGGGTGGGGTGGCATGTTACCTCCTCCATCCGGAAAGAGCGGAAGATGTACACATAGTCGCCTGGCCGTCCAACAAACCTGGGACAGTTGGGGTAGTGGTTAGAAAAGAGCTGGACTCAGCCCCCCAGGGGACACCACCCAAAAGGCCTGTGCTTTTGCAGATCCCCAGTCAGAGCCAGCAAGGGTTTTGCACAGACTGCCTCCTTTCCTGGCTGGCCCTCAAGATGCATATTTATATACCAGTCACTTGGTGCCACCTGGCCTGCTCAGGGCACTATCAGAGGTTGCTGTCTTGACTGTTGTCTGGGGTCTACAGGCAGAGTTGCCCATTGTCTGGGGTCTATATTGCTAGGGGCTCTCTCTGCTCTGTCGCCCCAGCTGAAGCCAGCCCTCCCCAGAACATCATGGCTGTGGGAGCTACACTTCTTGTCTTCCCTGGGCTGTGGGAGCCTCCCACCATCAGGAGGGACAAGGTAGAACAGGGCCTTCTACCAGAGTGGAGGAGGGGGAAGAACTTAGGGCCGAGGAGTTCCTACCGGCCTTTGAAGAAGGCGACGTAAAAGATGGGAGTGTAGGAGTTCACGAACTTGAGCAGGAAGGCCTTGAAGGTTAGCCTGTCCTCGAAGCTCTTCTCTGTCTTCGGGACCTCTGAGGAGAGACACATGGTGTTGGCTGTGCTTAGCAACCCACAGACAGGCCAGACCAGGCCAAGGGCAGGCGGGACTGGCCAGAGCCCAGTCAGTGGCCAGGCTGCCTTCCTCAAGGGTGGCCAGCACCAGGGCTCATACCATCCTGCACATGGTACTCACCAATCTTGGTGAGCCACCTGGCAATGCAGCCGTAAACTTCGTCCAGCAGGATGATGACCACAAGGTTGATGATGACAGCGGTGGCCGTGACTGTGACCCTGATGTTGGACCGCACAGAGGGGGAGGAGTTCATGGCCAAGGCTGCGGCTGTGGAGATTCTATAGATGATAACTCCCAGCACGATGGCAAATGTCACTGCGATCTGCAGGGCAGGCGTGGACATGCTGAGTGGTAATGGTAGTGGTGGTTTGGGGGCAGGTGAAGAGCTCCCTTCAGCCTGCCCATCTGTTCCTAACCCTCAATTTTTCTGCGTCAGAACTAAAGCTGAAATTACTGGAGATGCCAAGTGCTCTGCAGGCGTCAACCCCACAGAACAAGGAAAAAAAAGCGAAAGGACTCCAAGGACCAGCAAGGTTGTGCAGCTAGGTCAGGGCACCCAGCTCTGGGACTGGGTTTCAGTGCTTGGTTCTTCCAAGCCTAAAGTTTACCAGATCTACATACTATCCTCCTTTATTGTCCCCCATGCAGATCCCAGGACACTGATGTCACACCCTGGTGGCTGTTCTGGTAGATGTTAGAGCAGAATGGCTACAGGGAAAGCTCCTTGCCCAACCTGAGGCAATAGGGATCCGATTTTCTGGATTGTGTTCAGGGCTGAGCCAGGCACCCTTAGCCACTGTGGTCAGGCAGATGGTGGCATTCTGCAGGTTGGCTGGGACATGGCCAGGGTCCTCTCCCCATAGCTTTCTTGGAACCACCTTCTAAGCCCTTCCATGACAGCAGGCTGCTAGGCTGGCCAAACCCATCTCAGGCTACAACATTCCATGGAACCCAGACTGGTGGTGCCTGAGAGATGGGTGGGAAGCCGGTGACAGATTTGTTCCGCCTGCTACAATCGTCTGTCTGGGTTCCTTTTCCTTTTGGCAGGAGTCCATGGGTAAGACCCAGTCTCTGCCCAGCCCAAGGGTGTGCACACCCCACCCTAGAGCTTGCTGGGTGAGGGTGGGCATGTCTGAGGCTTGAAGAGCAGAACCTAGCTGGGCTCCAGCCACTTATGTGTGGTTTTTGGCTGCTCTAGGCAGGCCTCTGGACCTTATGTCTCCGTGTCCTGGATATAGGGCAGGCCTTGTGCTTGCTGGCATGGTACCTCATGGCGCCTGGCACAGCCCCTGCTGACCTATGTTGCCCACTCAGGGGTCATGGCCTTTGGAAATCTCCTCAGAAGACTTGCCCTGCACACTGTGGGCCACAACAAGGCCTTTTTAGACATCTGTTAGTGACTAAACAGAGAAACACCCTCCCCAGGAAACCATCTGCAGCCCCCACTATGCCTTGCAAGCACAAGGCATGGGTACCACGCCCTGAGCTATGCCAAGGAGTGAGGGCTTTCCTCGGAACACCCCTTAGGCCTGCCAAGAGGCTGCTCCCGGCCGTAAGGCCATGTCTGGTGCCAGTATGCAGAGGTGGGGACGGCTCTGGGCCTGTGGTGACTCAGCAGAGCCAGCCCTCCACCCACCTCCTCCCAGGGAGCCACAAGCCCTGTGCTCTGCACCTCTGGCTGGCCACGCTCGTTAATGTCTTCAGGACCGGCACCTGTGGGGCATCAACATCTGTGCCTGAGTGGAACTCTGGGGTCGGGGATGAAACTGAATCTCCGTTGGCCCACAAGCCCGACTCACTTGTGACAGGATTCTCTTCTGGGAAAAGACAGCCAGCTGGTTTCTTATCCAAGCCCGTCTACCCTGGCTCCACTTGTCTACCTATGCTAGATCACCATGTGTTCCTTGTTAAGCCTCTCTGCAGGGCAGGTGGGCAGGAGAAAGGGCTCGACCAACGAGACACGCTGTGGGAAGGTCTTTTGAGGAAGCCCCCTTCACAGACAGGCAGCCTGAGCCGCTCATCTTTCTGCCCTACTCTCAGCCTTCCTTTTCTCTTACCTGGAGTGTAGAAGTGATGTTGTGGATGGAGTAGCTATATTGCAGAAAGGGTGAGTGAGGACAAATCCGGGGAAGTTGGTACCTCTGGTCACACTAGGCCCTAGGCTACCCATTCTCTTCCTAACATTCGCCAGTCCCTTTGCTAGGAGCAGCTGGACTATGGGGCTGCTTGAGGCTCTTGGTTCCCGAGCTTTGCCCTTCACTGACTGAGGGCTGGGGGTGACATTCTCCAGTTGTGCCTCAAAATGAGGCTGAGAGTGTGTCTGTGGTACCGGCTACATGGGAGGTCAAGGTTTAGAAGCTCAGGAACAGCCTGAGAGACACAGACCTCATCACGTAGAACCAAAGCAAATGAGGCCGAGCTTATCTTTCAGGGAGTCCCTGGCTTCTCCAGGGAAAGGAAAATGAATGGAGGATCCCCCCTGTGGAGGCTGCCCCTTTCTGGATCCTCTAGGTAGACAGAAGGTGACTATAAGTCACCCTGTCACATGAAGGTTGAGAGGGGTACAGGAGGTCTGAGGCAGAGGCCTGGTGGGATCAATGGGGCTGGGAGTCCCCTGAGAGCCGTGGGGCATTTGCTGGATCATTTGAATCGGCTCAGAACCACCTGCACTGTTCCTCCTCTTTAAATGTTTTTTTTCTTAGATTTTGTTTTGAGACACTCACTATGTATCCCAGCCTGGCCTTGAACTTGTAGCAATCCTCCTGTTTCAGCCTCTTGAGTGCACTGTCATGCCTGACCATCATGTGAAATCCCATTACAGGTTTCTCTAAGATTTGTCAGCTTGGTTTTAAGGGGTTAGAGGAGATCCCAGCGTGAGCCACTCCCCACTTAGGGCAAACTGTGTCACTGCAGTCAGATCACATTCTGCAGGACCATCACAAACCCCAGCCTGTCCCATTTTAGGGACAGAAGAGGGGGGTCCCTCACTCCCTCTCTATCCCAGGAGTCAAGGCCACAGTGTCCCAAGATGAGTGCAGGGCACCTCTGACTCCCAGTCCCTCCAACCTTCTAGAACTTACCATGAAGATGATGGAGACAAGGTTGGTAAAATAGGCTGGGAATCTGTCCCTCCAGGTCAGCTTCACCTTGTCCGTCTGCAACATGAAACCATCTGGTCACTCACTGGGAACCAGCCCTCCAGAAGGTGCTGAGCAAACGTGACGGCACAGTGAGAGCGGAAAGCGCCCCTGTGAACAGGGTCGCAGTGTGACAGAGAAGGGGATGACCTCAGAGGCTAGGCTTCCTCTATGCGTGGGCATGGCATTGCCCACTGCTCCCTAAGGACTGCGGGACCTGAGAGGGAGCCGCCCACATGTGAGATGCTCTTCTTTCTCTGTAATCTCCTGTCCCGGGCTACAGGTCCTAAGCTGTTGGGCCATTTGCCACCCAGACCATAATAGCTATTTCTCTCTTTGCTGAGCAGGTAGGAACATGTGGCTAGCACTGCATGTTAGGACTCAGAGCACTGTAAGGCCATACTGAGCTGGGGCCACATAGCTCACAGAGGCTCTCTTGGGACCTGCGCTGGCTGGCCTGGAAGGACCTTGGGGAGCAGGTCACTAAAACCCGGGCAGTTTCAAGCATGTGGGGGAGGAGGGGCTTTCAAAGACAAAAACACATACTGGAGCCCAGCATGCTGGCCTGGTTGGTTGTCACATGGGAGGCGACTCATGCCAGCAGGGTCTGCATGCATGCTCACAAGAAAGCAAGAAGCAATCGTGGACACTTGTGACAAGCATGTCTCCAGACCCCCCCCCCCGGCCCCCATGATGCTGCATCCTCTCCCCGTGGATCCTTGACAGCCATGCAGTGACATTGCGACACACGGCAGGCTGCAGTGGGAGGTGAGGAAAGGGGCACGGATGGGAATGTTCCAAGAACACACCACAGAGGTGGCCAGGGACAGACACAGTGGCCAAGGAGGCCTGCCAATGGTGTCAAGGCTCAAGTTGCCCCAAAACAGACAAGTACCAATTTCACCCCCGCCATGGCTGTCCTAACCCTCTGCTTCCATTTGTTGGTCGGTTCTTCTGGAACATTCCGGCGCTTCTGAGGGTGGGTAGGGAAAGAGAGCACTGGGTGGTGGAATGGGGCAGGTACTGCTGATGTCGGATAGGGATGTGGGTCCAGGCAATGGTTCACTCTTTCTGTGAGCACCATGTGCCGAGGCCAAACCAGGCCCTGGGCCTTTTAAATAAGTTAACACACAACAGAGACTCAATTCAAGGTCAGGGCAAGGGGAACTACAAGTTTTCAGAATAAAGAATCCAGTATACAGTCCCCATAGGCTCCTTCAGAAACACATCAGGCTGCGATTTCAGTGTTTTAGAGCATGGGAAATACAGGTCTGTCGCCACCGCCATCCTGAGACAACAGAAAGGAGGCCAAGAAGCCCTCGAGATGCACAGGTTGACAAGCCAATCAGGGGCTGATCTGGTTTAATAAACTAATTGCATGGGGTTGGGACTGAAGCTCAGTTGGTAGAATGGACCACCAGCCCCACAAACACACTATGATATCACATGCCTCTAATTCCAGCACTCTGGAAGATGGAGGCAGGAGGATTAGAGATTCAAGGTTATCCTCAGTTATACAGCTAGTTGGGAGGCCAAATGGGCTTTATAACCATGGGCCAGCAAGGAGGCTCAGCCGGAAAAATTGCTTATGGCCTAGCTGAATGCTTCAGTACCTTAGGAACCACACCGTGGAAGGAGAAAACAGACTTCCTAAGGTTGTCTTCTGATCTCCACACATGTTGTGTCATGCACAAATAATGTAACAGAAAAGAAAAAAGAGCAAAACCGCACGATTTTGTTCCATAACTGGGGAAAGTTCAATGCAAAGCAGTCACTGGGAGCCACACGAGATTGGAGAGAGAATGTGGCCATATGAAGCCCATGGGCTCAGGGCCACCATCCTCCCAGAGGCTTGGAAAAACCCTCCTCCCAACAACTGTGTGGCTCTCTCATGATCCAAGAGCTGGGGCTGAAATTGAGCTGGGGTCAGGCAGCTCCTGTTCTCTGAAGTTGCCTGCTGTGGTGCAGTGTGGCGAGTTGGGATCTCCAAGCCTCTGCTGCTTTAGGAATGAGAGAGAGGCTTTTCTGTATTCATTCCAATCTGCGATATGTGACTAGAAAGCCAGTAGGCCCACAGTACTGGGGGTAGGGGTGGGGGTGGGGGTGGGGCTCAGGCTGACTCCTGAGATGTCTCCACCCAGGCTTAGAGCCAGGAAGGTGCCCTAAAGACATGATGGAGGCCTGTAGGGTCTTCTTGGCGGGCAGTGTCGGGGACGGGACCCCAGGCTGTGTATAGATGGGACTGCCCGGCTGATCTGTTAAGTCAGACAACTTCTGGCTGGTGTGTCCAAACCATGGGCCGCATGTGGCCTACCACAGCCCAACAGAAAATTGTAAACTTCAAACATTATGATTTTTTCTTTTCTTTTTTGCCATTTTATTGGTAACTTGATTGTAAGGTTGTCTCAGCCCTATAGTTGACAATGCTGTGCCTCAGTGTCAGAACACCGATTGCTTATATAATTTCTTTCTTTTTGAGACATGGTCTCAGTATGTAGCCCTGGTTGTTCTGGAACTCACTGCGAAGACCAGGCTGGCAGAGTTCTGCCTGCCTCTGCCTCCTGAGTGCTGGATCAAAGGCGTGTGCATGACCACATCTGGCTGTGATTACCTTTTGCATCCTTAATTCCTGTTCAGTCTCTTTGGGGTGTTCTGGGAGATGCACCCCTTCCTTGCTACAAGAATGGGGTCTTGTGCTTGGCCTGCTTGAAGCCTCTACTATAGTCACCTCCATGTATTTGTCAACTATATACAGAGGCTGCTTGGTACCATGAGCTCTGTGCATGGGACACATGACAAGGTAAGAGCCCAGGATTTGTCCTGGTTACTCCAGACGTGGAGGGTGCAACACATCAGCAAAACCACAAGCCTGGAAGAGACTCTTCCGATTGCAATACCACCCAGTACCAACATGAGCCAGCAGCCTGAAGTTACTGTCTTATCCCACCTTGTTTGAAAACCATGAATAACAAACAGGCCAGTGCAAGAATGCACACTGCGCGTAACAGACACTGTTACACTGGTGGCTGGCAGGTGAGGCCCTGCCAGTCAGAACAAGAGGCTTTGGGGACAGCTTATAATAAAAAGACAGTGGTCTGAAGCACATAATGATGCCCACATCTTCTCTCTATCCCTATGTCCTAGACTCCAGGACCTAGAGATATGAGGTCAGGACTCTGCCTCTATAAATGTTCCTAATTCATTGTTTAACGCAGAACACAGGTTGCACCGGGTGGGGCAGGGCCTTCCCAGAAACTAGATCCTAGTGTGACATGTTTGCTGAAGTTGAGGTCACTGTCAGGATACATCAGGGAACAGTCTAAAGAGAGCTCGGCTAATTCAGGCCCTTTGGTTCAATCTGGCCCCTGGCCTGTTTTTGTAAATAAAGTTTTATGGGAACACAGTTGTGTGTATTTGTTTGCCTTTTGTCAACAGCCCTGTTCATGCTACAGTGGCAGAGCTGAGTAGCTGTGGAACAGGCTAACACAGCTTAAATATTTACTCTTTGAGCTGAGCCTTGGTCTTGAGAGAGCACGGAGTATTTGTTAATACCTGTCTCTATCTGGGAAAGCGCAGTTTTTGCTGACTGCTGGTCATACCTGATAAATGGATAACATTTACTGATTCCTGGTCATACCTTATAAACAAGTGTTTGCTGACCCCTGGTCATATCTGAGACACAGTGTTTGCTGACCCCTGATCACACTTCAGACACACAGCAGGTCATTATGGGAAACAAGCGGCAGGGCCTGTACCTCTTTATTTCTGGATTCTTTTCTCAGTGACTTCTCTAAGACTCTGGCTTCGTACTCTGCTCTGGGATGGTCCTGAGAAAGACAGCAAGTCAAGAAAGGATGTGTTAGTGCTGAGTCCATATCCCTCCATGTATTTGCCTCAGGAACCCTGGGGACCAGTTCACAGCTGGCTGTCACATCTCCATTGTCAAACTCCCTGTACTTGGCCTGAATCTTGGCCCTGGACTCTCCCTCTCATTAGGAACCCCAAATCAATGGAATGACTAGAGGGTCTGGCCTCTGCTCCTGCGGGGCCCTGGCTGTGCCAGGTTTCAGTGAACACCCAGTTGTGAACTGACCCTCTGGAACATTCTGTGGAGTAGCCACAGGGGTCAAAAAAGACATAGCAAGAGGCAGCAAGCGCAGGCAGACTGGAGGTGCCAGGCCTCAGGGAGCCCAGAGCAAATCAGCGGAAAGTGCTGGAAGGAAAGACCAGGTTAGGTGAGACTGGGAGAAAGCAGAGCCCAGGTGAGAGCCGCGAGGAGACGTCTGGTGGAAAGACAGGAGCATGTGTGTGAAGGTCCCTCTCCCCAGAGATAGGCTAGAAGAAGGCAGAGTGACCAAAAAATATTCCAAACCTTGACAGCTTCCTGCGGGGAACCGGGAATAAAGACAAAAACAGAAAGAACCATTACTGATGTTGTTCATCCGTAGAGCCAGGATGATGATAATGTCCAGCAGAACAGGGATCTGGATGTTTGCCGCTCCCAGATCCCAGTTTTGCAAGCTCGCTGCAATTCTCAGAATCAATGGAGAAGCACAGAGAACAGTGACCTAGCTTCCCCTTGTTCCATCCAACCTGGGTTCAGACCACGGCATGGGGATAGGAGGATGGAAGCAGCCCCTTCACCTGAGGCAAGCCACTCCCCCAGGACCATGGCCAACCATAGGACATGAATGGCTCACTTTGGGGACTCACTCAGGCCGACTGGGGTTGTGTGGCCTCAAGGATACATCTCAGAAATAAAGCCCTAGATCTTGCCATGATGAGGTCAAGATGGGGAGTGGTGAGGTGTTCCCCTCAGCTTTCAGGACACCATGGAAGTGTGTCCACCTGGACAGGAAGACCCAGCAGCTTCTTCTATTGAAATTATCAACATGGAAATAGCACCAATGAGAGAGGCCACCTGAGGGTCAATGGGTCCACCCAGGCCAGAGCACCAGTCATTTGTGAAATGGACTCACTACAGAAGAGGACAGACACTATTACACGGGTGGCTGGCAGGTGAGGCCCTGCTATGGTTAGCCAAGTAACTCTCTGGGAAGCTTTCTGTGCCCTGGGCACATCTACAACCCAGCAGAAACCTCCTCAGTCTGGTCAACTGAGGCTTGCTCCTCAGTGCCTATGGGGCAGTAAAGGGCCAATATACCCCAGGTCACATAGCAATGATAGTGTCAGATCAGATGAAGTCGGGTACTGTGGTCCCAGAGGCTGGGACCACAACCTTATAACCATAACCTGGCTGCCAAGCTGCTATCAGCATGGATCAGAAGCCACCACAGGCACTCTGAAAGGTGCACGTGGCCAAGAGAGACCAGCAGACTGGAGCTCAGGAGGGTGTGAGCTGTGTGAGTTTTATAAGGGCACAGAGCTGGGGCTCAGTTGCACCATTTGTCTAGTGTGGTGAAGCCCTGGGTTTAAGCTCCAGAGAAAGAGAGAGAGAGAGAAAGATTTGTAACACATCAAAAACATCAAAGGGCCTCACTTATAAAAAGCAAGCCTGGGAGGAACCCTGGCAGTGCAGCTGAGATGGGAAAGTGTTTGCACCCATAAGGCCACGAGTTAGACCCCCAGCAGTGACTAAACCAGATGTGGCTGAGCACACCTGCCTGCAATCCCGACACTCCAGAGGTAGAGCCTGGAGGGTCGGGAGTTCAAAGTTATCCTTGACTATTCAGCAAGTTAGGGGCAGCCTGAGCTACATGAGACCATCTCAAAAGGGGCGGAGGTGGAGAGAAAAAAAAAGAAAAGAGAAGAAAAGAAAAGAAGAAAAGAAAAGAAAAGAGAAAGAAAACAAAGGAAGCATGCCACAAGGTGTGCCTCAGCCCCATAACCCCAGCTCTTGGGAGGCTGGGTCCTGAATTCCGTACTGTAGGAAGTGCGAGGCCAGCCTGGGCTACAGAAAGAGATAGCATGCTGCACCAGGCAATGGTCATGCCTCAGCACATGCAGGGAACAGCCTGCTCTTCATCGAGGCTCTTCTTTGGGGTGTGGAGGGACAGTACTCCCTAATGACCCTAACTGGGAATTTCTTCCTGCTGGAGATAGCAGTCAGGGGACTCAGGGGGAGGGTGTCTCCCTGACTCCATGGCCATCTACCACCAAGCATCTTTTAGGAACCCAGCCCTGTTTGCATTTAGTTAGTAAAGGGCTTCTCAACCTACCTTGCCTGCAGACTGAGGGATGGTTTGGATGGAGCACAGAGAAGAAGGAGGCCTGTGGACAGCAGTGACTCCCTGCCCACACCCCACAACATCAGATGTGATGAGGTCAGTGTGGAGAGCCCTGGCCAACACCTGAACCCACACTCGTGGGTGTTATGTCTTTGGGAGCATGGAGACGGAAAACACTGGCAGATGGAAAACTGTTGCCCTGGCAACTGAGGAATACCAGGGCAATGAATGGAGGAGCCACAGGAGTCGAGCCTGGGATAGGGGGCCAGTCAGGACCTGGGGGGGTGGGTGTTCATGTGAGCTGGAGGAAGTGGCAGAGGGGGTCCTGGAGAGAGAGGACACAGCCACTCACCTCCTCCTCCTCAAAGCCTGTGAGGTCCCAGCGGTAGTTGAGTCTCATCTGCTTCCGTTTCCAGTGCTCCATGAAGGTGGCGGCTGCAGGATGAGGGGAAGCAGTCAGGGTCACTGGATAACGCAGAGCCTGTTTCTTCCATGCCACTGGCTAAGTGAAGGCCAAGGCCACGCAGCTTCAGCCCTCTCACTGACCCTGCCTGGCCATTGCTTTCCCACTTTGCTGATGAAGAAACTGAGGCAGGTGCAAACTCTGGCCAAGGTAATTCAGCCAGGCAAAGAGGATTAGGCTGGCTAGCCTCTGACCCTGGATCTCTAGTAATCTTGCTTATTGTTCTCAGGGCCCCTGGGGAACAAGCCCTGGGGGATCTTGAGATCAGAAAAGATAAGGATTATCTATACTTAGAGGCAAGGTCTCGTGTACCTGAGGTTGACACTGAACTTGCTGTATGGCCATGTGCTGTGTGATGGTTTGTTTTACTTGTCAACTTGCTGTAATCTAGAATCGCTTAAGAAAGGAGACTCAATGGAGCAACTGTGTAGATCAGACTGGCCTGTGGATATGTCTGCAAGGGGTTGTCTTGATTGTCAAAGACCCATCCTGAATGTGGGTAGCACCATTTCATGGGCTTTATAATGTATGAATGAAGAGACCTAGCTGAGGGCAAGCCTTGGGAAAGCAGCCATTCTCCTTCCCTCTGACTGTGGGAGTCCTGTGCCTGCTGTCTCCAGCTCCTTCCTCTGTGGCTTCCCTCCGTGTAACCTAGAATTTCAACACAAATAAATCCTTTCCTCCCTTAAGTTGCTTATGTCAGGGTATTTTTATCACAGCAGCAATAGAAAACTAGAGCATTATGCAAGGTCGGCCCTGAACCCCTGATTTTCCTGCCTCCACTGCCAGAGTGCATAGGTATGAACCATCACATCTACATCTGTGTTATATCCCTGACAGACCAACCAAAGTTTCAGACGCGACCTTCTCTAGGAGATGCTGATGACTAACCCCAGCCCCCGCCTCCCACCTCCTGCCGAACACACCCAGCGTCAGAACACACCAGCCAAGGGCTGGAGAGGTGGTTTAGTGATTAAGGGCACACTGACTGATCTTGTAGAGGATCCAAATCAGTTCCCAGCATCCATTTGGTGCTCACAACCACCAGTAACTCCAGTTCCAGGGGATACGTTTCCGTCTTCTGGCCTTTGAAAGTACTACACTCAAGTGGGACATACACATTTCAGCATACACACATGCATATACAATAAATACATCTTAAAAGAAAACACATCAGCCGACTCCCTCACAGGACGCTATGGTACAGACATGGCTGGAGCATCTCCCAAGACTCAATATTGAAATTTTATCACCACCATGAACTATGAAGACAATGAAAACTAATCTTACTGTGCTATTCAGGGGTGGGGCCTTCAGGCGGCAATTAGTTCTGATAGGTCCCCAGGGTGGAGCCTGGTGGATTAGCCCCTGTAGCTTTGTGGAAAGAGGAACAGACATTGCCAAGTGAGGCCCTACACTGCCCTGCGATGTTGCCAGCAACGAGGATATCCCCAGAGGTGGGCTCTTGACCTTGAACCTTCAGTGTCACCAAAATGAACCTCTTTGCTCTATAAAGTTACCAGATCTCAGAGATTTCATTTTTGTATGAAAATGAACTGACACAAGACCAACCCCAGGCTGTATCGGTGCTGTTTCTGCCACCTTCTAGGATGATCTCTGTCCATCTTGTGTGGCCTTTCTAGGTATCTAGGGTAAGAATAGGGTCTAGCTCCTCTGTCCATAGTATTCGGCTGGTACCTGGCCCAGACAGGCTCTCCACAGTGACCACTGATGAATGGGTGATTTTATGAACACACAGCTTGCAAAGGTAGAAACAACAGCTGAATGTCTGCTGGGAACACTGCTCTCAGAAAGCCAGCAGAGGCAGGGGGATGGACAGCAGTCACAAGGTCACTGGAGCTTGAGATTCTCAGGCTGCCACATGCAAAATGCTGTACCAAGAACTGTCATGCAGAGAAGGTGCCTCTGTGAAACCCTATGGTTAGTTATTGGCCAGAGTTGACTTCCACTGTTCTATTAAGGAGGAAACTGAGGCTCAATCAGGCCACAAACTGCTCATCTAGCAAGTGGGGACATCAAGATAGAAATAAGATGCCCCAGATGGGAATCCTGGTGGGGTCTTCCTGGAGGAAGTCAGAACCATGAGGATACAGCCACAGTCACTGCTGTACCAGGACAAAGGGAGAAACAGCCGAATGTTCTTTCTTACCACTTTCAAAGCCACACTGGAGAGACGACTCAGGGGCTAAGGGCACTGATTGCTCTTGCAGAGGACCAAGGTTAGATTCCCAGCATCCACAAGTCAACTCACAACCATCTTTAACTCCAGTTCCAGGGGACCTGACGCCCTCTTCTGGCCTCTGTGGGCACCAGGCACACATGTGATGCACAGACATATGTGCAGACAAAACATTCATTCACACAAAATAAAAGTAAACTGAATCCCAGTTCTAGGGAAGACTTAAAGCTGAGTCTTCTAGGAAGTGGGAAACCAAGGTAGCCTGGGAAATGTAGTACCTAAGGAGCAGAAAGGCAGGGTGGAATAGTATTCAAAGACCAGCCTGGACATTCCTCTAGGTAAGGACTTCTAGGGACTAGAGGGCAAGACTTTAAAGGTCAATGCAAGAAAAAAACCAAACCAAACCAACAACAAAACCAAAAACAGACCGGAGGGGGGTGGCACATCAAATCAAAGAATTTCCGCAAAGTTAAAGAAACCACTGAGTGAAGGGATGGCTGACAGACTGTCAGTCTGTACAGGCTGCAGGCTGATCATCTGCAGTGACTTTAGATGCTGCCTCAACCTGGTTGAAAATAGGCAAATTGTGGGCTGGGGATGGAGCCGAGCTGGTAGAGAGCTTGCTTAGCGTTCAGCAAGCCAGATTCAGTCCCCAGCACTGCACAAACTGGGTACAGTGCTGCATGCCTGTGATCTCAGTACCCCTGAGGTGGAGGAAGGAGAATCAGGTCATCCTTGTCTATACAGTGAGTTTGAGGCCAGCCTGGGCTAGTGAGCCTGAAGGGGGTAGACAGGCAGGATGACTCTTGCCTGTCATTCCAGTACTTGCAAGGTTGAGGCAGGTGGTTCACCATGAATTTTAGGACAACTTGTGCTTCAGTGTGAGTTCTTGTCTCAAAAAAAGAAAACAACAATAACAACAACAGCAGTACACACACATACACAAAAGTAAAACAAACAAAACCTGGGAGCCAGAGATGGAGAGCTCTTTCTGCTCTCACAGAGGACCTGGATTTGGTTCCCAGTGCCCATATGACGCCTCACTGCCATCTGTAATTCCTCTTCTGCTCCAAAGGCTCACACATGTACACAGCACACATAATTCACACAAGTGCACAGTACACACATGCACGAAAATGAATGAATTAATTAACCAAAAAACCCAAACCAACCCAAACCAAATGGGCAAAGGATGTGAAGAAAATTCTCAAAAGGAGACATGCAAATGAGCTACAGGTTTATAGATGGGCTAGCCTCGCTCGTCACCAAGAGGACCAAAACCCACAACCACAATGAGCGAAACAAGATACATAAACACAGAACAAAACAAAAAGCAAAATCGTCCCTTATCACAGTCAAAACAAATGCCACCAAAAGAAATAAGAGAGAGAGACAAATGTTAAGTCACAAAGAGAGGGAAATGTTTGCTTACATCTGGTGGGAGAGGAATTCACAATCTGTTCAAAGCACAAGGGGCCTCAGAAACCAAGGGCCAGGGCTACTACATCATCAGCCCATCCCCCTACCAGCTGTCTATGCCAGGACAGTGACAGCCCTGAGGGAAGATCCCCAAATGCATGCACAGGGCAGTGCTGTTCAGGGCAGCTAATCGCTCACCAAGTATGCATGAGTGGATGGGTGGATGTTGAGCAAGTGCTGGGTACATACAGCTGTCTTAGTCGGACATAAGGAAGTGAAACTCTCCTGATGGGACCAGGAGACCGTGACGAGAAACACAAGCAGAGGAATGGAGGCTTTAGAGAGGCCATCAGAAGCCAGGAGCAGAGAAGGGCTGGGGAGTATGGGTGCCTTCTGGGTCCTGGAACAGGTCTGGTGTTCCATGACAAGTGGGTGATTAATTGCTGTCAACATCTTTGTGTCATTTGATTCTGAGAGCCAGAAGTCAGGACTGCGATTTCCTCAGCACAGTGATGTGTAAGAGGCCTGGAAACCTCAGTGCTGGGAGCACCCAAACCTCCTTCTGGACTCTAGAAGGATTCTGTAAAACCCTTCCCTGCTCATGCGGATGTACCAGGGGGACAAGAACCTTGCTTTCTGAGTCTGTGGGAGGAACCAGGCCCCAGAATAAAGATGCCTCTACCCTGGGGCATGGTACCATGACAGAGGCCAGGGTCAGGCACACCTCTACCTGTTCCTTATGTCCCTGCTTCTTATAGTGTTTGTGTCATGGGCTTTGTCTGACATGGCAACACACCAAGATCTCAGGCAGCATGAAATGGCTGGGCTCCTCTCTGCCACCCCCAGTCTCCTCCTCTCTACATCCAGTTCCCTGACCTGCTGGCTGCAGTTGCTGACTGGCAGTAGAGTGGAGGCTGGCTAACCTCATGTCTATGAGCATCAGAAACACAAGAAATGAGCCCCAAAACAAAACAAAACAAAACAAAAAAAAAAACAGGGCACTGAGGCTTGGGAGGCATCACACTGTGTCCCAGGGCAAGCTCGGAAGAGGATTCTGAACTGATTCTGGCTGACCTTTAGGGTCTGTGCTCAGTTATCATACCAGAATAATGCTGACAGATACTGGATTTCCTTAAGGGAAAAACAATCATAGCCATATTTTATATGTCCAAGTATTCAAGCTCTCTCTCTGTTTCTCTGTCTCTGTCTCCCCCAAGGTCTCTCTATGCAGCTCTGGCTGGCCTAGAACTCACTTATGTAGAGCAGGCTGGCCTTGACCTTACAGAGTTCCTCCTGCGTCTGCCTCCCAAGTGCCGGGGTTAAAGATATGCACCATCATACCATGCTGAACAC